GAGAAACAGTATGACTAATGTATATTCTCACCAAGCTGTAGGCTAATGATGCAATGCCTGAAAATCAATTTTTTTTATAAGTTAACACACACAGATTGATATTTATGTTTTTATTAAAATATTTTTTGATTACATTGTATGTTTTAACAATAACAATCCTTTTTGGGAAAAACTCCTCCTAACAGTGGAATGATATAAAGAAACCATGACATGTAGGTCATTATTACACATGTACGTATCCATTCTTTGTTTGAAATCTTACTGAATCTTTTTATGGTGAACATTTCTTTATGATGTTCATGAGAGGACAACATGCTTGATTACAAATTCAATTATTTTTCAATGTCTGATTGTATATTTTAATGACATTACTCTAAACCAGATGTTGTAACATATATGTATTCACAACCTTTCGATACCATCATACATAGGTGTATTCAATCAAGAAAACTCTATGATATTTTTTCGTAGATTACAACCCTTATTTGATGCTATAATCAGTACCCAAAAAAATCAAAATACATTTAAATACAAGTCAAAAGGCAATAAAACTAAAGTTTTAATATGAAATAAACAAAATTAACTCACTAAAAGTTTAATTGATACCCCACTTCAAGCTATTATCTATATATTAGTATGTCTTCATCAGCTGATCACTTCTAAGGTTTCATTAAAAAAAAAGCAGATGTCTGATTCAAAACAAAGTCAAACAGATACATAAGATCACAACAGGAAGACTCATAGAAGTTGTATACATAGGATAAGCTTTGTTGTTCAGTTGTACCTTTTTTACAAAGGTAGGCCGTTCCTGAAAGCTGGAGGCTTTTAAGGTCACCTGATCATTATGGAATTCAAATTTGAATTTGTAAACATCAAACAATTTTGCAGATATTCCTGTAGTATCACCATAAAACTCATCCTTAGTTTCTGAAGGATAGAGCTCAAAGGTCAAATAACCATATATCAAGTTCAGTTTGTTCTTCTCTGTGTGTTTACCAATCTTAATTTTACCATAGGCTTTATGTTTATACATCCCAATGTATTCTTTTTGTTTTCTTGTTGTATTTCTGTCTTTTCGGTAGTTAGGTTTTACTTTTGGTATGTCAGATTTTAACCATGGTTCAGGATAAGTACATATGGTTGATGTATTTAGATATGGGATATGACCAGTGTACACATCAAATATATAATTATGTAATGTTAGTCTGTAAAAGTAATTTGGATCATTTCCAGTAAATGCTACAAAAATGCCAATATCAGCTTCAGGGTACCAGGATATCATTGCTCTATATCCCCATGTTGAGCCAGTATGAACAACCATTCTGTACCCTAAAATAAGAAAAATTGAGAATAACTTTGGAGTGAAATGTTTCAAATGGCTACACGTTGTGTTTTGTGAAATTAGCTGATACTACCAAGCAAATACAAATTTCTATTGGATTTCTGTTTATTTTATCTCTTTAAATCGTACATTTATGTGAGCTTTTGTCATCACTAAGTCATTGCATCTTGTAAGTAAAATAAATGTATAACAAACTGCTGAACCAAATGGAAGCAATTTCTACTAGTGTATTTTACACAGTATTATGTACTAAGTAAAATCTTTAAAAAGTCATTAATGAGAGGCCTTAGTGTAGTTATTTATGCATCATTGGATCTCAAATGGTAGGGTTTTGGCATTCCTTAGTGCTTCAGACACATGGAATTTACAAAGTTTTATTTTCTTATTTTTTGTTTGTGCGTGCAATTTTATGGGGAATTCTTGGAAGAACTGTCAACTACACCTGACCCAAGCTGAGAGCCTCATCAATGACTGTATTTGGTCTTATCTCTGTATTGGGCAGTTTTTTTTGTCCTGTAAATGATTTTAAACTTATGGTAGATCGTTCATACCAAACATTTAGTCAAATTTTATCTACACTTGAAATGATGTAGACTCGACATACCGTATAGGCACCTGTGCATTGTTGACCACTAGATGTCTTTTCTGGTTCATTAATGTTCTCAACTTTCTGTTGTATTGACTTCTACCCCACAATTTGTTTTATTCATAATCGTTAGGGCAAAACTTTTATTTGTATCCAAGTTGAACAGAAGAAGGCAGGGCTGTGTTGAATTTTGTGAGGCATATACTAGTAATGGTAGGTGTCACTTTTCCATATTCAACATATTCGATACTTTATGTTAAGATAAACGGTATATGTCATTGAGAATGCAATCTAACTGAAATGTATCAAAACCATCGTTTTAGGGAAGGGATCCCTATTAACTGTTAACTGATGGTTTCAATCATATTCATATTTTTGAAGATGTAGGTAATTTATAAATTATTTAAATATCATCACGTAAGGGTAATAGCTCATTGTGGTGCATCCTGAACACTTTTCTGTATCTACATTCAAAAATATTAAGTCCAAAGATGTATGAATATGTGAAATTTTGACCAAAAGGGAACTGAAAAAATAACCAATTCCACCTAAGATTAACTTTGCCTGATTGACTTGGAACCTTAATAATATCTAAATTAATCAACAGAAAATTTTTATGGTTTCAGTCAAATTGAAAGATTTGTAAATCTTGTACTGCTGATCAGATTTTTTATTAACAGTTTCCGTCTATCTATAAAAGTCTTCAAAATATAAGGCATAAGGATAAATCAGTTGTATGTGTGCACAAACTGCACCAGTCATGGGCATATTTCAATAACAATTGATAGATTCTTGGCGTTAAACGCCACTTTCGGCACTAGTGGCTTTGTCATGATGTCCAGTTTTTTTTGGTAGAGGAAGTTGGAGTGCCAACAGAACCACGACCTTCGGCAGGAAAATTGGTATTCCTGGTCAATTAAGATTAGATTCCTAGCAGGCGCGTAGCTGCCTTTACGCAAAAAATCATTTGCTTGCACATTTTTTTCACCAAAAAAAAAAATTCTGAAATTGAATTACGGATAGTCTTTAGTCTTTACAGACTATCGTGTCGGGCGGTGTTTAAAGCCCAAATCTCTGATGTCGTCTGTATCAGTGACTAATAAGGAACTATATATCCTTCAATATTCGCAATCATCTCAATTCTAGTTACAATGCCAGTAACTACATCAACTACTGAACGGTCATTTAGTGCATTAAGACGACCGAAAACTTATCTCCGTTCAACCATGGTACAGGACAGACTATCTTCGTTGGCGCTCATACATGTTCACAAAGAAATGGATATCAACACCGAGAGAGTTCTGCGATCATTTGCCTTGGCAAAAAATAGATATATGGACTTTCGATATTAACTTTACTTTAAGTCTTACATGCAGTATTAACATTTAATTATACAGGCTCAATACAATCACCTTGAAAACATCTTAGATTTATATCCCTTACTTATAAGTCAAGACTTAAAAGTGGCCGTTAGATTTCGTATTCCCATTATCCGTTCATTCAAAAGACTATTGATTCACCTGGGGTATCTGTGTCCCAAATGACCTTCTACCGTTGTCGTAGAAACCTCTCCTTTGATTTGAGAATGACCTTCGTGAGACACACTACGGGTGTCTTGCAAGAAGCAGGAACTGCTTACCCTTTTGGAGCACAGGAGGTCGCCACATTGTTTTCTGGGTCCGTGTTTTTCATCTGTATTTAGTTTTCAATGTTGAATGTTTTTGTTTCTCCTTTTGTGTCTTATCTGTTCACGGGTTTGTCAATTGTCCATTGATTAACGCTTCGGTTGTCGACTCTTCCTGATCTTCCCGTTTTATAAAAAAAATTTATATTTGAAAATAACCATGTTAATAACATAAGCAGCAAATTACGGAACTCACTAGACTTTTACTATCGTTTCATGAAAATATGGTATAATAAAAAACAGATAGGGTATTTTTCATGTTCAAAGCAGTCACTGTAATTACTCATATGCCCGGAGCTTCATGGGGATTCGCTTCCCTGGACCACCGTCTACGGTGCTGCCCTGGATCCCCGACAAGGGTGATACCCTGGACCAGCTGGGGACTTTGAGCGGTCCATAGCCTCCTCCCTTGCCGAATCACTATAAAGTCCACAAGTATTCACAAAATAGGAGTTTGGGCGTGAATGTGATGTGAATTTCATAAGCATGGCATACCGGAAAATGCCAGAAAAAAGATATCATATTCTGTATAAAATGGTCCAAAAAAAATTTTCGCCTCGCTTCGCTCGGTCGTTATGATTGCACTTTATGTAAGTCCAGCTACGCCCCTGCCTAGTCAATTAAGATTAGAGTCAAAAGCACCTGTAACATGCAGGGTTCGAACTTTCAACCGCAGTGTTGACTGGCTATTAATAGATTACCTACTTGGACCACTCATTCACCGCGGTCCCTATTTCAGGAATGAAAAATGTGAAATGTGTCAAATTCACCTCTGTTTAGTAGTTCATTGAATTTTGCTAACTATCAGATTATTTCATCTAAGCAAGTTTCTGAATGAAAACCCGACTATTCTGCATCATTAAAAGCCACATAGAATGAAAAATGTTAAATGTATCAATATGGACACTTAAGGTATGCAAAATAAGGCAGCGCATCAACTATCAAAGCAGGGTATATTCATATCTCATGAACGTGTTATTCTCCTGGATATGCATGTAATATTTGTTGCTGGATATTAATAAATAATCAATCAATCAAGGTATATATTACTAGATGATGATCAATGCCAACAATATATGTCTCATTATGAAGAACGCGTCCAACATGACTTGGTCTTTTGTTGTTAATAGCTTTGTTTTGAAATATCCAAATATTTCACTGGAATGTCGGTCGGATATTGGACAGATAAAAGTATTTAAAAGAGATATTGAGATTAGGTACACAGTTATCAATTAGGTTGTATTTCTATATGTAGTTGCAAGGAATGACAACAATGGTCAATAGGATAGAGAATAGAAACGAAGAATGTGTCAAAGAGACAACAACCCTACCAAAGAGCAAAAAACAGACCTTTTCTGTCCTGTTGAAATATTTCTTGGAATACTTGCCTCTATAATATCCAGTTCTCCAACCCAGTGCGTAGTTGCTTTGAATATTCGTGACTGGTATTTCCGGCGTGGAGAAGTATTTGTGGGTGTAAGTATATGGTATGGTATTTACAGGAGTAGTTATATCTTTAAAGGCCTGTTCTGAAATCAATCTGGTGTCATTTTGAAGCTTTCCTCCATTCAGAAAGAAACGTGTCCACTTAGACATGTCATTGGCAGTAGTAAGTATGCACACTGATCCACATATTTCACTATATTGCCTGAAACAGATTATGTATTTCAACAAGTCAATATCTATGGTCACATTTCTGCGTTTTTATTCCATTCAAATCGTATATACTGCAGGAATGTTCATGCTGAATTTAAGTATAGTAGTTTGTCTTCTTGGCTTGCTAAGGGCTAAATCAGTAATGACCTTCGTACGTACATCCTAAAATCTTGAATATTATTTGGTAGGTTTATATACACGCCGTTTTATCTTCTTTCAGTTTTACCGCTTTAAACAACTTTCCGCAGCATAAATCAAATTAAAACTTTTAAGCAATCAGCGTTTCTAAAACCATATCACAGTAGAATTCAATGGCGCATTTTGAAGTTGAAACAATTATGGTTGATGATGCATTTTACAGTTTATTATAGATAAAGGGTACCAATATAAAAAAGAAGATGTGGTATGATTGCCAATGAGACAACTCTCCACAAGAGACTAAATGACACAGAAATTAACAACTATAGGTCACCGTCCGGCCTTCAACAATGAGCAAAGCCCATACCGCATAGTCAGCTATAAAAGGCCCGAAATGACAAATGTAAAACAATTCAAACGAGAAAAACTAACGGCCTAATGTATGTACAAAATAATGAACGAAAAACATGTATGTTAGACAGCAACAAACGACAACCACTGAATTACAGGCTCCTGACTTGGGACAGGCATATAACATAATGTGGCGGGGTTAAACTAGTTAGATGGCGCCAAACCCTCCCTCTAACCTGGGACAGTGGTGCAACAGCACAAAACAAGAACACACTATAAAAGAATAAACGAAAAACAAATATGATAAAGAGCAACAAACAACAACCACTCAATTACAGGCTCCTAACTTGGGTCAGGCACATATAGAATGTGGCGGGGTTAAACTAGTTTGAAGGCGCCAACCCTCTTCCTAACCTGGGACAGTGATGTAACAGTACAACATAAGAACAAACTATAAAAATCAGTTGAAAAAGTCTTAACTCGTCAGATGCGTACAAATAGAAATACATCTAACAAAAACACAGAGTAGACGTGGACGGGTACTTATACATCCCCACAACAAAAAGACACTACATACAGATCTGAGAGTACTCGCAGTTACTGACATCTAGTTAAAAGCCAATAATAACTAATAAAAAAATCATGCATCTAAGACTAAAATATCAATCAGTACACATCCAACATCCAATGGATATAGTGTAAAGACGTCATAAATAGTCAAGGAAATACATGACCTTGTGCAATGCCAAGATACAGGTATCGACAGATTGTAGAACCATGAATGTGCATATGTATATAAAAATAATATCTAGTTTGATTTTACTGATAACAAAATCAATATTAATACCAATATAAAATAATATTCTAAAATTTAATCACAGTGTTGAATTAGTAACCTTTTAGAATAAGTTTATTTAAAGGATCGATAAGTTTAAATTTCGAGGCTCGGTAAACAACATCTCCGTAAAAATGAGGATGTGCTATCCCGTTTGAAATAAGTTTTATACAGGTACAACCAAACTTCAAAACCACTTCTTTATATCTATGGAAGAATTTAGTAAAGGTTTTAAGTAATTTAACGAAATCCCTAATTTAATAATTTACCAGTAATACATAGATTACGTTCATTGAAATCCAAAACGTCACAACGTCACAACAGACACGGGAATAGCGAACGAGGTGTGATTTATAAACACCAAGCTCCCTTCCTTTTTCAAATCCTGTATCCGCCGATGAAACTACTGTTTTCAGTAAAACAACATATTGTCTAGCTAATGTCACTCAATTTTATGAATAAATAGTAACACTTGCCTTGTAAAGTTATAATGAACCGGATGGAGTTCACCGTAATATTCCACGTATCCTTTTGCCAGCAAAATCTTCTCTGGGTCTGCTGTTGAAGCAAATGTTGATGTATTCATTTCTAACGGTTCAAATATGTGCTTGGTTACTAGGTTCTCCCATTTATCTTTGCCTATTATCTCAGCAAGACGGGTGACGATTCCATACATCAAATTATTGTACATGTAACTACCTCTAAAAACACCCTCTGGTTTAAGATATTTAAGTCGACTGAAAAATATATCATGTTTCTTTAATTTCCTTATTAATTCAAATTTAAAACTGAAGATCTGGGACAACTATACACCAGAGACCAAATATTCGTAGATGTAAGAGTTGCGAAGAGATGACATTATGCGTGATTTTATTTGATAATTTCATTCCGCTTATCAAACATTTTACATAAAATATCTTTTCTTACGTAAATATTACACTCCTCACAAACAATCAAGGATTACTATACAAATCCATGATATAATATACTAGAAGTGGGCTATTGTTGTCTGTCAAATTTTCTTTACCATAATGTTATTAATTTTCCTTATTGGTTAAAATTTAAGAAGATGCGGGATGATTGCCAATGAGACAACTATCCGCTATATATATAGATACCAAATGTACGTAGATGTAAGGCATGATAGTATTCGTGATTTATTTGGTAATTTCATTCCGCTTATCAAACTTTTTTCATAAAACTTTTATTTCTTACTTAAATGTTATAAATTACTATAAAAATCCTTGATAATTTATACTAGAAGTGGGCTATTGTTGTCTGTCATTTTTCTTTAGCATAATGTTATACTTACTCTATAAAATTTTTCCGGGTAAGATCAGTGTCAAATCTCATCTCATTATGTTTCGGGATACCTGTTTTGTGGGACAGCAAATCTCGTAGAGTGACATAGTTGGATCTTAAACTGTCGTAGAAAATCTCCTTTCCATGTAGAATTTTCTTTAGTCTTGTATCCAATGTATAGCTGTTTAACGGAATCATATTAAATTTGTAAACAATTACAGTGTAGAACAAGTTAACTAGCTTCAACGGCTAGATCACCTATAGAATATACCATAATTTTTTTTGAATCCGTTTGATCAACAGATCTTTCCAAAATGATGTATCACAAATAGTTTTCAAATTTAGTTTTGTTAGGACATTTCAAAATATGTCGTTTTTTAACTCACCTGGCCAAAAGGGCAAGTATGAGCGATCCGTTGACTTTTACCAAATTTTTCTCCTCTGAAACTACTAAACCAATTTCAACCACACTTCGACACAATCATCATTGGGGTATTCAGTTATAAAAATGTGCCAGAAGACCCCACCTGCTAATCAACATGAACGACATGACTAAAAATGCAAGTTTGGTCTATTTTCTCGAAAACTATAATAGAGTGAAACTTAAATTAGTAAAAGTTATCAGCAAGACAAGATCTACAAATAAGTCAAATGACCGAAATCATCAGTCGACTCCTTATTAGAAGTATCGCTATTTAACCACGATTTTTACCAATTTTTTGCGTGTTTGTCTATTGTCTTGAAAACTGCAAAAGATAGATATACACTTTAAATAACAAAAATTATCAGCAAGACAAGATCTGCAAATAAGTCAAATTTTGATAAAATCATTATTAGACTCTTTACAAGATTAACAAAAAAGGAGATTTTTTATTAATCGTATTCTAGTCTACAATATCGGAGATTGTTCATTGTTGAAGATGCACATAGACCAAGATAAGCGGCACAGACTCTTTATAAAAAATGATGATACTTACTTTGTATTAGCAATTGTGACTTCAAATGTACAGAACAAATCAGAAACAAAAACAAATAAAACAAAATTCACTCAAACCAATAATTATTATCCACTGAAATGATCTTATACTAGTACTTAAGTAATGTGTTGGTTCAGTACTGGCGTTTCCTGATTGTCTGATCGAGTTCCGTAGTAATGTCTCCTTAAACATGTTTTATAGACAAGCTATTGGTGGTTATAACATATAATAAAAGCTTGGTGAACAGCCAAATCGAAAAAAAAATCATGATGAAATGTATTTTAAAATAAACGATTTATGAGTAAGAAGATCTATTAACCCCAGAAAATGTACATAATTCTCGGCCTATAGTACCCGCGAATCAAATTTACTTCCCGACGATGGTTCAACAGTGCTATCGTTTACTGTACAGCTGACACAAATAAGAGTTGTTATATAACTTCAAAAACAGAGGTGAGGTTTACTTGCTTGCCAACTTTCTATGATGTTTGCTCAATCATTGTAATAAAGATTGACATTTGAAGGCCGCTTGGTGAATAAACGGAGATATCTTCAGTATACTAACATACATGTAGTTAGTATTTTGCAAGGCAAATAAAATTGAGAATGGAAATGGGGAATATGTCAAAGAGACAACAACCCGACCAAAGAGCAGACAACAGCCGAAGGCCACCAATGGGTCTTCAATGCAGCGAGAAAATCCCGCACCCGGAGGTGGTCCTCAGCTGGCCCCTAAATAAAATTGTGTACTAGTTCAGTGAAAATGGACGTCACACTAAACTCCAAAACATATAAATGAACTAATATTAAAAAACATACAAGACTAACAAAGGCCAGAGGCTCCTGACTTGGGACAGGCGCAAAAATGCGGCGGGGTTAAACATGTTTTGTGAGATCTCAACCCTCCCCCTATACCTCTAGCCAATGTAGAAAAAAAAAACACATAGCAATACGCACAGTAAAACTCAGTTTAAAAGAAGTCCGAGTCCGATGTCAAAATAGGTAACAAAAGAAACTAAGCAAAATGACAATGATACATAAATAAACAAAGGACTACTAGCAGTTACTGACATGCCAGCTCCAAACCTCAATTAAACTGATTGAAAGATTATGTCTTCATCATATGAAAATCAAGTACAATCCCTCCCGTTAGGGGTTTAGTATCATACCATCATGAAATATATGAGGAGAACATAACCCGTATCATGCCAACAACTGGTTTTAGAATAAATGTGTTTATTTCCAATGCAAAGAACCTATGATTGAACCAATATTAATACCAAAATATGCAATCCTTAAAGACTTGAAAACAGTATCGTAACTATATCCTTTCCGAATAAGTCTGTTTAAAGGTTTGGTTAGCTTTTGAGGTGAATGCCGACATTTTTGTGCTTTGTAAAGAATATTACCATAAAATATTGGATGTGAAATACCTTCTGGTTTTTTATTCTCGAACAAACCCTCTTTTTACAAGTGATAGTCTACATTTCCCGACCTCATCACGGTACTGGCCACTTTACAGAACCAATTCAGTTGATTCATTGGTATGTTTTCCCTTCGAAAAAGGCAGACATTTTTTTGTAGGATTTCATTTCGCCTTTTTCTTCTTGTTGTTCACATACAACCTTTCCGGGCAGTAACTTTTTTTATCATTTGACATGGACTCATATTTGGCATGAAGATATTACCATAAAATAGTGTTTCTCGTGTCACATCATGACATTCATGTGTCAAGACTTAAAATGTATTTTTTTGGGACATTTGCTTGTCCGGGTCATTACTTTTTATTCTTTGACATAGGCTATAGATAATTGGAACCTTGGTGCACATTCTGAAGATAATGTATCGTTCCCCATTTAAGAATACCTCTGGCCTTAATCTTGGACCTAGAGTTCGATAATTGTTTTTTAAGTGCAAATTTTCGTGTCCTGGACATATATAAACATGATTAATTTGTCCCTTTTCAGACAAGAAGCTGCACTAACTTGCCCATTGTCTTAAAAATGTTTGGTCATTTTTTTTCTTTATTTCTCTATTTTCAGAGCAGTTTTGATATAGATTTGAAAATCCACCCTAGATATGCATGGCATTTTTTGGCCTAAATATGCATTAGATATTTGCCATAGAACGCAAACAACACATTAGTCAATGTATCTAGATCCCAATAACTCTAGGTATTACTAAATTAGCATAAAATATACGAATACTCAGAATGTGCTCCAGTATGTATTTTTACATCGTCTGTTTATGATAAAGGAAAACACTTGATTTTATTAGAAATGTTGGGTTTCTTGTAATTTCAATTGGGTTTTTTTCTTCAGAAAATCAAAACCAACAATTAATGGCTTGTACAAGTCTTCCTTCAAATGGACAAGAAACTGTTGTTTAACGACCTTGACTACCCATAAGATTCTGTGCATATCTTAACATCGGTTTAAGTGGTGATTTGAATTTTAGATGTGACCATGGAAATGGGTAAAATGGAAATATCACGAAAAACTTTTTCTGTCTTATAAATTTTTGAAAATAAGCATAATTTGGCTGATTAAGGAAAATATTTAGAGATATTGTATTAACAAGCTCATCACGACATCATAGTTTCTCACATTCATTTAAAGACGACAGACACATGACAACATGAAGGCAATAGCTCACTGACTGATTCGTTATAGATGAAAATAATCTTCTGATATTGACTAAATTATTTAGTAACTTACTTTGTCTTCTCTTCTATTAGCTTTGTAAGCAGAACACTTGCGAATGCTTTTGACATTGATGATAATTGAAAAAGTGTATCCCCTGTCACAGGCGTCTTCTTTTCTATATCCACAAAGCCATATCCTCCAACAAACAGAACTTTATCTGATCTGACAACAGACACCGTCAGACCTACGGTTTTGTTAGATTTAAACTTGCAATCCAAAGTGTCCTTCAATACTTGATCGATTCGGACATTTTCTTGTCCACTAAGACAGAAAACGAACGAATATAACAGAAAAACTCGAAACATATTTAAGTATAATATACAGTGTTTCATTAGAATGCAAGAATAAATGCAGGCGGATGTGATAATCTTCCATGTATTTATAATGCATGCATCTCCTGTAACTATAAATAACTATGAATAATAATTGGTACTTATATATGACAATTTACATGATATCGCATTGTCATATCAGACTCTAAAACATGTGGACAATGTACTATTTTTGAAGCTAACAGCAAGAGAGGTAGATGTCTGCAAAATGCGCAGACGTGGAAACATTTTCTGGCACCAAATGTCTTGCAATGCTGGCATTGTGACTACTATAATATTAAACTTACGTATTTTGAACGTATTAGACTATTTGTCAATATAGAGCTGCGCCATTAGCGCATGATACGCCCGTCGCCCTTTTTCCACGACTTGTATTCCTGACAAATTGACCGTTTTCGACTATTTTTCAACAAAAAAATTTTATAACCGTCCAAAGTGTGAAAAATTAACAGTTTTCGATCATTTTTCAACGAATAAAGTTCCATAACTCCATAATGTCATATCAGAAATTTATATATGAAAAAAACCAATAGGGAGCTTATTTCAATAGATATAAACAAGTCACCAAAGTTTCATTAAAGTTTTTGAGTTATTGTCCGAAAACTGGAACAAAGTCCCAATACTCCAAAACGTAAAATCAGAAATTTTAGAAGACGTATGTCAATATATTCAAACAATTCACCAAAGTTTTATGAAATTTCTCAAACATTTTTGAGTTATAGTCAAAATACTGGAAAATCCCCCATTTTTTATGAATAAAATCCCACAACTCGGAAACGTAAAATGTAAAATTTATAAAAAAAAATCGAAAGGGAGCTTATGTCAAAAGATGTAAACAATTCACCCAAGTTTCATGAAAATTGGTAAAAGCGGTTTTGAGTTTTTGTCCAAAGTGTTGACGACGGACGGACAGACGAATGGACAACTATATACAATAATACGTCCGGTCTTTATAGACGGGTGTATTAAAAGAGAACATATGACAAAGATGACACTAGTAGACGGTATTACACAAAATACAATGGAAGTGACAATAATTGAAGATCGTTACTGCTATTAAGTCAGGGGCGGATCCAGGATTTCTGAAAGGGGGGCTTATTTGAGAAAATTATATATATACCGCCGATCGTAGCAATGCGAAAACGTACATGTTCCGGCTAGCTGACCAACATTGCAGTCACTGCTAAAAGTAGGGAGTAATATATTCAAGATAGTAATGTTTTATATAGCTAGTAGATCAAGGTGAATGTCCTTCTGATGTGTTCTTATAGAGGGACACACATGCACTTATCTCTGTAAATAATGTATTATAATGTCTGGTTATATTAAGGTTTATATGAGAAGAAAAAAAAATTCAGAGACAAGTGCCTGTGAGGTACTGCATGTATACACTAATATTGTAAGATTACAAATTCCTCGGACACAAAATAAATGTCAAATTTTTTTGGGACAGAAAATAAGACACATCTTTAACTGATTTCCGATGTCAGTAATTACTGGTTGGCCCCATTCTGTAAATGGCAGCAAATTGCTTAAGCCTCCAATTTTAACAAAACTTAAAATATTTATTCAGAACAGATCCTGTATTAAATCCTTGTGTCAAAATTTATGAAAATTGATACCCCAAGAACCGATTAAAAAAGTCATTAGTTTTTGTTTGATAATATTTCTGACTGTCAGAGATGATGTTCATGTAAAGTGATTGATATTCCAAAGGGGAGTAACTGTGTGACTGTCCCTCTTATCGCATATTTGTTCGCTTACTGTTAGGAATTTAAGATTACATCAATACTTCACAAAGACCAAATGAAGCACTTCTTTAAGACATGTTCAACAAACCTACAGATATTTAGATAAAAAATCCCCTCTTTAATATAAGTATTTAGCTACCACCTTTTTAATAGTCATAGTATCTATAGAGTTTTGTTTTGGTACTATAAATAAACTATTGGTAAAGGTTATAATTAAACTGTTGTTTCATTAATCACTGAAGTTTACATTTTGGGGTATTGATATCAATTGGTTATTTATATTGAAATTCTGAACAACTTGACTTAGGGCAAGGTCAATGTCTTTCAGTATTGATTCTATATACCTTTTATTATTCAACTAATCAAGATTTAAAGAGTGAGTTTGAGTGCTGCAGAAACTACCTTAATCCTATCAGAGTGCCTGTCTTAAATCAAGAACCAGATCAGTGGTTGTCAGTAGACATATTGCAATGTTTTTCCCCCTAAATGGAATGCTGTGTTGATTGCAGTCTTGATTTCTGTCAAATATAATTTATACACTACTTCTCTAGACTAGTCCTGTTTTAAAGCTTGATATTTTGTATAGACACTTGTCTATTTTTGAAAACAGTTTGTTGACCAGCAAGATGTCTTTTTTTGTGAGTGGTTTTTTTTCTGAAAATTTCAATTCATTTTATTTGTATACAACAGAAAATGGTAAAATCTTGAGTTTATGCATGTTGGGTTTTGGCTAGATTTAGGGGGTCACTATCAGGGTTAAGGTTAGCACACAACTATTGGTAGAATACCATCAATTCCTAGAAAATCAAAAGACATTAAAGAAAATTGACAGGCCTTAATGATACGACAGAAGTTGCACAAAAAGAAGCATAAAAACAGCTGTATGCCACCTAAATGTATTGCCTTATTTTAAATGTCAACTGACAAGTAACAAAACCACAAATAATCTCCCACGCTATCCCTGTAAAGATTTCTTAATGACATGTAGTTGGCAATTTGAAAACCATGCTAAAGATCACAGGCATGTTTAATGAATTATAAGTTCCAAGTAAATTTTAATCATAGTCTTTGTGAGCACTGAGTGGATGAAGATAGTGTTCATTTTTGTCCCCCATGCAGCGCATTGCGGGGGACAATGAAATTTTGGGCATCCCTCAGACCATCCGGTCTTGTTAGCCCTCTCACATGTACAAATCTTGCCAGATTTTTATAAAACTTACATCAAAGGTTTATATCAGCAATGTCTTGGAAGAGTTCAAAAATCAGTGCCGATCAATTATTTCAAATAGAGTTATGCCCCTTGAAAACAATAATTATATGGAAATTTGTATCGTTAGCGCTCTCATGTGTACATTTCTTGCCAGATTTATTTGAAACTTATACTGTAGGTTTATATCAGAAATGTCTCGCACGAATTCGAAAGTCAGTGCTGATCCATTATTGTTATAAGAGTTATGGCCCTTAGAAATATTGATTATATGGGAAATTGCATTGTTAGCACTCTCATGTGTACAATTCTTGTCATATTTTTATGTAACTTATATTGTAGGTATATATCAAATATATAACCAATTCTAAGTTCTTTGACAACAGTTATTCGGTGTCAGAAACCTATTATGTGTCAAATATTGAATTACAATCCAAATTCAGACCTGTATCAAGCGCGAATATTGTGTCCATTTTTGCCCCAACTGTTCAGGGTTGGACCTCTGCTAAAATTAATATTCCTTAATCAACATTTTTAAATAGTTACTTCTAAAAATAAATTGACAGCTAATCACCGCAAGACAATACAACATTCCTTTATACATAATTTAAAAGCAGTGTAAGGGAGGTAATCCAAACATAACATTGTACTTTTTTTTAATTGTCCATTAACCAGGAAACCCTTGTTTTCCCCCTTTTTAGCCCCCAATTCCTAAATGGTTTGAGCCATAACCCCCCAAAGCCAATTCTTACCGTCCCTTTGTGGTATGAAACTTGTGGTATAACTTCAGAGAGATCCATACACCGTTCCACAAGTTATTGTCTGGAAACTAGAAAAATGCTTATTTGGGCCCCTTTTTGGCCCCTAATTTCTTAACTGTTAGGGCTATAAACCCCATAATCAATCCCAATCTTCCTTTTGTGGTTATAAACCTTGTGTTTAAATTTCATAGATTTCTTTTTACATTTACTAAAGTTATTGTCCGGAAACCAAATGTCCTCGGACGACACTGACGACGTAGACGTGATACCAATAGATGACCGCAAAATTTTTTGCGGTCGTATAAAAATCATCTAAGATAGGCAATGGACACAGACAAGATCTTGATTATCTTATATAATTTATTTAGCCATTTTATCATAAAATGGAATGAGAAAAATGAAGGATGACAAAATATAACATAGTAACAGGTAAAACGAACAATCCTTCAAACACAAGCACACACACTGACACATTCATGTATTGCACTTCACCATCAAATGTTGTAAAAGTGTAAAGTATGGTATCTACTATAAACTTAAGGCCCCAAAATATATATACTTGTTTCCTGCCTCCTTGGCAGAAAAATATGGTAGGTACGTAAAAGAATTTTATTTTTGAAAAATATTTTACATATACTAATTATACTAATATAGGAAAATGTCCTTGACTTTAATAACAGTGTTTCACTAAAAGTGTCCATAAATGAGTAGGTAGGTTGGAATGCAGGTAACAGAACTATATTTTTGGGGCCTAATTTGACTCTAGGAATTTGTTTACTAGATTTATATAAGTTTTCAGATATTACTGAAAAACATAAATTGTATGCAAATGCAAATTTAGTGTTTACATTTTTAGAAATCTACAACACTGCCTATTTACAGTATTGTACAAGTACATATATTCAAGAGGTTCTATCAGTACAAGTTATAGACTTTGTGGGTAATATTAATAATGAAATTTGATACCAAACAAAATGCTAATTTTACATAGATTTATAATGCCACTTATGTAAAACCATACATTTAACAATTAAAGAAGCAAAGACTAAGCTGCAATTGCCTAGATCAAAGACTATAAGTACTGCCTTGAAACATACCCTATGAAATTAAAAAAAGTACTTTAATTTGTTTTGAAACATATCCTATCAAATGGACTAAATTTGAAAACACATTCAAATTTTGAAAAGGCAATATTTACATTTCTGCTTAAAGCACCATTCACACAATGTTATTTTTTTTATTGTATCCATAGATTATGAGGCCTTTCATATTTTGAGAGAACAAATCTTGACTTGAACACATTACTTAGTAATTGGTCATTATAAAATTATTATGTATTCATTTCTTAAACAGCTCTCACATTAAAAAAAATTGGTTCTGTTTATCAGGAAAACTCCTGAACAGCTAAAGTGAAAATCACCAAAACCATTTTGACTTCTGTTTACTCACGAGAAACATCATATTAAAATTTGAAAAGGATTGGATCAAACAATCTCAAGTTATCACAAACAAGCATAATTGTAACAGCAAGATAATAAATTAGTATAATGGAAGACAGTTATAGAGATATCACAATAGCTTATGGTCATTCTATTGGTTCCTTGTAAAGTCCCCATCCATGGAAACACTTGGTAAATTTCTTATGTTCTTTGTACTTCATGGCAAGTAATAGCTTCCTTGGCTTGTCTGGTTGTTTGTTCCTTAGATGCTGAATATAAACCTGCAACAGAAATGTAGAAATATGCAAATATGTCAATCTTACACTTGGAATTATACTGCACAAAACATCCATTTACACTATTTTAAATCTATGATGATGGTGATGGTTTGGTGTTTAAAATCTAGTGGCAAATATTAATGGTACATACATATCAGGACAAAAACATGTTAATGCAATAAGATGAACCCTGATTTGTACTAGACTAACACACTGAGCCGAATTTTTAATTATTTTTTTATCTAGTTCAAAAGTTAATAGTTTACAGGAAGACATGTCATAATATATTCTACTGACTTCAAGTTGACTAGTCTTTACTTATAGCTGTGGTTTGACCAGGAGGGGGATTGAACTACAGCCTCCTGCTCTCCAGGCAAGCAAGCTATGATAAAACCACCATGTCAGCATATTTAAAATCTAAAACATTTCAAAGCTAAAATGATGGTCTATGAAGCATGAATGCTATTTTTTACTTTACATTTTGATTAGCCAGCTACCATTTCTAACTAATAGAACGCTGCTGTATTCATGTATATATCTATGTTAAATATAAGAATTGCACCAACTGGTCAAACCATTCGAAACAAATTGAAATGTGAGCTATAATAGCTGACAAATGATGTCCCCACTATAAGTATAAGGTAAATAGGAAGTTGATGAGCAATAGTTGTGAAAACACATCACACAATATAGCATGCTATCTAAAATGCCAGAAAGTCCTGATTCGTAGTTCCAGAGAAAAATGTGACAAAAATTTCATTAATATAAAATTGAGAATGGAAATGGGGAAGGTGTCAAAGAGACAACAACCCCACCAAAGAGTAGAAAACAGCCAAAGACCACCAATGGGTCTTCAATACAGCGAGAAAATCCTGCACCCGGAGGCTGGCTTCAGCTGGCCCCTAAACAAAAGTGTGTACTAGTTCAGTGAAAATGGACGTCACACTAAACTCCAAAACATATAAATGAACCAAAATCAAAAAAACATACAAGACTAACAAAGGCCAGAGGCTCCTGACTTGGGACAGGTGCAAAAATGCGGCGGGGTTATTATGGCTTTTATGTATAGGAATACATAAATATTAGATATATAGGAAGTTGATAGGTGATGAATGTGAAAAAATATCACACAGTAAAGCATGTTCGCATGAAGCTTAGTACAAAATTTCAGTAAGCTCTGATTTGCATTTTTTGAGAAGAGTGACAAAATTTCATGGGACAGAACGACAGATGTTAACCTGTATACCCCAACCCCCCTTTCAGAGTGGAATATAATTATGACAAACTGTAGAGGCATAAACTAGAATCATACAGTTCTGGTCAGATATTAAAGTAATTTTTTTTTTTTAAATTAGGTCATAAACATCACATTTAAAAATTATAATCCTTAAAATGTGTGACTCAAGCGTAGCTGTTATAAGATTATCAAAATTTCTCGAAACATCAAATTCTGAAGTAAAGTTGACCAGTTTTTCAGTAGTTTTCATTAATTCAGTAATATAACAATACACATTTTCAGATTCTGACAGTTTCACAAACTAATTATTAATTGCATTTTCAGAATTTTACTTTTCTAGCATACACATACTACAATTAACATCCCCATATGTCACATTCTGCAACATTATTTGCAGGGGAGACAGAACTCACACAATGATTTTAACTAATCATAGCATTATCAAGTATACACTGAAAATTGAGAGGCAATGATCAGAATATTTACCTGTGCACTTTTAAATGTTAATTTGATTTCTACATCACTGGTCTTTTTACCAACCCAAAGGAAAACTTGTTCACCATTATCTAATATCATGCCGTCATCATCTGCCAAATCATCCTACAAAATCAGTAGTTCATTTTGTGAAATATTAACATGCTGTTTAAATCTTTCCTATTCTCTTAGAAAAGACAATAACAAACCTTGAAGGCAAACAATTTTTTCATAAGCTTCAACTTTTTACCAAAACAAACACAGTGTATGCAAAATTAATTTTGAAAATTCCATTTTGCATGATTCCAGTTGAATACAACAAATTAAAAGTTATGTTAAAGACTTCATCAGATTCTTAAAGATTTAGCTGACTTAATTCAAAATTCTTATGATGGCTAAGGTTGCAATTCAGGAGGTTGTCTTCTGGTTGTTTACCTAAAAAAAATATATCAATACTTGACAAATAGATTTGTGGCAACATTTGCTATTCTTTTAATGATGGTTGTGAAATGTTATACTTGTATCTAGTAGCTTAAGCTTTAAAGATAATTAACAGAAATTATTTCTGAAGAACAAATTATGAAAACTTTCTTAAAAATGGTACAGTGCTTCCATCAGATGATTTTTAATCTAGATACCTGTCCTTTATTCTTTTTTACATCCTGGAGACTACTTTAACACTGCATGGTGGAGTTTTCATAATAATTAAATTTATGCAATAATGACAAGGCTGAGAACAGATTTTTTTTCTTTTTTATTATTTTTAATATCTCACCTGACAAAAGTCTGCACATTTTTCTGAGACTGTAAAATATCCTTTCTCATTTGAACATCTAAACAATCTTGCACAGTTCATAAATGAAGAATCCTTGAAATAAACAAAGAATTTTATACAACACATAAAAATTAAACCTTTTAAAATTTCTAGTTTTTCTTTCCCTTGTACAATGTCACATGTCCCCTAATGCATAACTTGATTATCAACAAGTCTTAAGAATCAACAGTTTCTGGTATTGTATTTTTTCATGTCTAAATACTTTTTCTTTGTAGACATTTTTCAGTAAAAACAATCAGATTTTTAATCATAATATACTGGAAAGACTTTATGCAGTTAATTGTACTTTAAACTTTTAATACTGTGAACCAAAATAATATATAAAACGGAATCTTTTGACAAAAATTCATTAGGCAAATACCACTACTGTGGATTCATATATTCTCATTGGTATCAATTTTGGTGAATAGAGAGAAAATTGTATTTTGTGAATATCTAATTCAAAAACTTGTGTACAAGCCTATAGAAAATTTATACTTCATTGAACATTCAAATTAGTAGTTTCGGTATATCCACAAAATTAACAAAAATTGGTACTCCGAGAATAATAATGAATCCACAGTATTCGTAAATGATATAACATAAAACTTACATGATCATATGGTTTTTTGCCACCTATTCCTACCCAGAAAAAGTTTTCTGGTTCTTCTCTCTCATTAATCATCTGTACAGTGTAATTATCCTACAAATAAAAATAATTTAGCATTATTAAGAGTTTTAAGCAAATACATTCAAGTTATCATAAAACAGAAGCTTAAATTTTTCATGCATATTAGCCATTATAATAAGATAACAATTTTCTACCATAATCTGGGCCAACACGAATAGTATATTGCTTGACTTTCTATGTACCTATGGATAAAAATGAAACTGATACGGAACTTCAACCACACCTTTTCACTATTCATAATACAACTGACAAAATATCATTACTATATAACCTGTTCTGGTTTTTTCTTGATCAAAATGCAAATTTGTGTTACGGTGACCCACTTTTTGCATGACTATCCAAGAACCATCCACTGATAAAGGTATTATTGCTATATTACTTTTAAGTTTTCAGATTTCCAAAATTTCCAATTTGAGAAAAAAAAAATATATACCAGTAATTATAATGATGATGGGTTTGTGTTTAAAGTCCTCTTCTATGCATATCAGAACTAACATATGAACCCTGCTTTAGTTGCTTACTTCTACACCAGTTGGTCTCTGGTGGAGATTTGTCTCATTGGCAGTCATATCAGATCTTATTTTTTTTTTTGTGCTTTTTCACGAGGTTACAGTCCACAGGAAGACATTTCACCCAACACAGAAACATTTTTCTGACTGAACCACCAGTCTTTGATATGGATCTTATGTACATCATGCATAGCAGAGAAGCAGCAAATACCAATTCTCATGTCATTTGTTTGACCAGACTGGGATTGAACCTTTACCTCCAGCACTAGACTTTAGCTAGCACACTTCCACTAGACTAGCAATGCAGTTAAATATAATTATAATAGAAGCCTATAAATATTGTATCATTACAGCTACTTACAGCATACATCATATAGGCTATCTTTTCTGCCAGAGTCGCTTCTTCATGTTCTGCCTTAGCACCTATCCACACATATACAACACCCTTCAAATCTTCACTGTCAAATGGCACCATCAGTATAAAACTGTATATAAATAGGTAATGAGTTACAAAATGTATCCAAAACATTTTAATGGACTGTTTGTTCAAAGGGGTATAGAACAATGTTTCAAATAATTTGGAAATATTTTTTTCAAACTGAGGACAAACAAAAACGTAACTTTCTGGCATCAAAACATTTATCTTCAATACTTGCAACATTACAAATGTCAGTCAGTGTTCAAAAAGTGACTTTAATCGTGAAAATACTATTTTTTTAAAAATCATATTAAAATATTAAAAGATATATGATAATATTGAGATCTGGATTATAATAATTACTTAGGGAACAATATTGTATCTGGAAATATTTTCTATTTTGATTTTTAACACCTATCATCAAATAAATGAAACCTTTTTTTATCTAAACATCAATAATTTCAATCAGTCTATTACTTACCAAAAGCAAGAATTTAGCTGTGATGCATCTGGTTTTACCTACAAAATGAAATTAGAAATGATAATTCCATGGATACTTGTTCCTCATTTATTTAAAGACTGCTGCCAATTACTGTTGATTCAATATTTTTTGTGCTGGATACCAATTTTCATGGATTTCGTAGGTATTGATGAACCACAAAGTCAAATGTTCAACGAAATACATATCTTTTATAGGCTTGTAAATCAAATATACATGAAAGTACAATTGTACCTCAATCCATGAAAATTGGTAACCACAAAAATAAGTGAATCCACAGTATGCATATAATATCTAAATTTAAAAAAAAAATTATTTGAGTGAATTTTCTAAGTCCAAGGACCATAACTCTGCATAAAATCATCAGACCGGAACAAAATTTGAACTTGATCTGTAACTTGTCATGATAAAACTATATACCAATTATCAAATCAATATCTTCAAGCATGACGAAAAAAAGTGCAGAAAACTGATTATTTGAGTGAATTTTCTAAGTCAAAGGACCATAACTCTGCACAAAATCATCAGACCGGAAAAAAATTTCGAACTTGATCTGTAACTTGTCATTATAAAACGATATACCAAGTATCAAATCAATATCTTAAAGCACGAAGAAAAAAAGTGTGGAAAACTGATTTGCCGGACTGACAGACAGACAGATAGACAGACAGACAGACATTCGGACGGAGTGCAAACCTAAAGGCCCAGCAACTTCTTCGATAGGGGACTACTTATAAAGACCTGCGCCATGAGCACATGATACGCCTGTCGCCTTTTCAAAGAATAAAGTTTCATAACTCCTCAATGTCATATCATAAATATATAAAAAACTAAAGGGATGTTATTTTAATAGATATAAATTAGTCACCAAAGTTTCATGAAAACTGCTTCAAGCACCTTTGAGTTATTGTCCGAAATCTGGAAAATCCCCCCTTTTTTATGAATAAAATCCAATAACTCAGAAATGTTTAATCTAAAATTTATAAAAATCAAAATGGAGCTTACGTCAATATATATAAACAATTCACCAAAGTTTCATGAAAACTGCTCAAAGCATTTTTGAGTTAGTCTGAAAACTGGAAATCCCCCTTTCTTAATGAATAAAACCCCATAACTCGAAATCATAAAATCTAAAATATATAAAAATGGAAAGGGAGCTCACATCAGAAGATATAAACAATCCACCAAAGTTTCATGCATATTGGATAAAGTATTTTTGAATTATTGTCCAACATGTTGACAACAGATGGAAGGATGGACGGACGGACAGACAGAACGACAACGGTATACCATAATATGTCCCGTAAACAGGCGTATAAAAATTAGACATTGTTTTGACTGTAAGTGTTGCCTGGGAGATAATTAATAATGTGTAATAAAGGATTCACATAGGAACAAAGATGGTGGAATTTCAATGGAAAACCCCTGTAAGGAATGTCAAGGACAGGATGTTTCAGTCAAACCATAACATAGGTATGTGGTTATTTGGAGTGTGATTCTATTGATGAAATGTATGAAAGACAATTCAATAAACACAGTTGATAGTTTCAAAATATTCAACAAAAAACCTCTGCCAAAATTACCTGACATCCACTATATAACATTTACTACTGCGGTATTATTATGATTTTTTCATGCAATATTATGTATCTTTTGTAACAGAAAGGATATCAACAAAATTTAAGCTAACTAAAGAACGCATGTTTATGATAACTATAGTAAAGCATTGCATTTAATACGACTAAATAATCATTCACTGTCAATATGATGTTTATAATGATAAGAACCTACAGTAAGAATCAACATTCAATAATCTTTTTAGAAGAAAGGCAAATGATGTCAAAGGTTTGAAAATATAATTACCTGAATACATCTTGTAGCAATAGGGCTACCATTAGCTCTTAAATAGAACAATTCAACATTTGGTTTAGGAGCTTCTTGTGATGGTAACTTCCTCTTCCCCCATCTTATTACAAACATGCGTTTGAAATGTGATAAGAATTTTAAGTTTTCTTGCTGTTGGTGTGTTCTCACAACTTCTAACTTGTCACCAAATAAACCCTCAAATTTCTTTTGTAAACTGAAACATACAAAGTTAGACACTTATGTACATAAGGGACTACAAACGCCATTACATAAACATCAAAGAGTTAAGCAAATTATCAACTATCAGGACTGCCAGAAATACAGAACACATTTACAAACACACATGTATGCAAAAACTATCTATGTTTGATTCATCTCTTACTTACACCACAAGTTTATATACACACTTGAAAGTAAGCCATCCAATGATTGAGGCATTATTTACCTGCAAGACCACACATTCATATACACATATACACTTGAAAGTGAAAGTAAGTCATACCATGTTTGAGGCATCACTTATCTGCCAGGACTAGACCACACATTCAAATACACACCTGAAAGTGAAAGTAAGCCATCCCATGTTTGATGCATCTCTTCCTTGCCAGAAATAGACTACACATTTAAAATCTTCTTCTGGTGGTTCTTCATTTTCATCTTCTTCCTCATCATCATCATACTCAACAGGTAACCAGTATCTACACAGGAACACATAACAGTCTTCTGTGTGGAAAATACCTGTAAAAATACATATATAAATCAGTAGAGATTTGAAGTGCATTTGAAGAATGACTTCTGACATTCTCAAAATTAATAAAATGTAACTAATAAAAAATAGCAATCAAATTAGTGAAATTAGTGTTTATCAGTAAGTTCAGACTACATTTCAAAGAAAAAGCAGTTACTTATGTTTTTCCATTCATGTTTCAGTTACAAATGTAAGTTAATAAACTTTCACTTATCTATTAACCAGCTTTAGATCTTTGACTACTTATAGTATATGGTATTGAAAGAAATTAAATGTTTTCCAACTAATAAAAGTAATTTGCATAAAATGTATTACCCAATTCTTCATCAGGTAATCTGACAAATTTCTTCCCTTCTAACACAAAGGCTTCCATTCCATCTAAATCTTCATTCCAATCCTGCATCATCTGTTCCTGTAATAAGTAAGAGGTGAAACTAAAGTGTTCTATCCAATATACAACTCAGAAGTTTAAAATGTTTAGAAAAAAAAACTTTTCAATGGTTTGTCTATTCTAAAATAACTTATTAAAAAAATAAAAGGAAAATTATATTACCATGTAAATTCTCTCTTTATTAGTATTACAAATGAAAATTCATTTTAAAACTGAACTTAACAAAATAGTTATAACAGTAGTTAATTGTGGACTTTCAAACACTGTGTTTACAGTTACAGAACTATAAATAAAATGTTTTCTCTGAAAAGATACATTTAAAATGAAAATAACTATGATAGACTATTTATATTAGAACATATATGTTAACTTACTGCTTCTTCCATGGGCATGGGAGGTTGTCGTGGCATAAATAATGCAGAGAGATCAGTTTTCATCTTGTCTCTTTCCATAATCACCTAAAATATGTCAAAGCAAAGTTTATAATATCACTTTGGTCTTTTACACAGCCCATTCTCCATGAGTGGTAAAGCATTGACATTTGTTCAACCAAAATAGTCTCTCCTTGTGCATATCTTCATATCATTGTTGTATTTTGTTTGAAGTTCAATTGGATCCATTGCAAAGGATTTTTGCTTACATAGATTATATTTGTCAAAGAAATGATAGCTATTAAAGAATATAAAGTATATTTATCTTTATAAAAACTTACATAACCAGATTCATTTTCTTTATGCACATTATTCTTTGAATAAATATTTATTACAATCTGTCTGACCATCTCAGAAATTTTAATCAAGAGTTTTTATTCCACTTTACTGACATAAGTTTCTTCATTAATATACTACAAAATTCAATGAATATCATTAGTTCCCCTGGCAAATATAGAAAGTGCATGTCCTTATGTCTTTTCTCCTTTGATTCTCTGATGAAAAGTGTGCTGTTCATTCTAACCATAAACCATAAAATCAGTTTCTACAATTTAAATTCATGCCGATGTTCTGCTAAGGTGTGGTGATGATAGATTATCCCAACTATCTTCTTTACTTAAAGATAAAAAAATGAGAAATCGGATTAACAAGAAGACAGCAACCTAACATTTACAACAAAATCCCAAAACAAATATACATATATCAAGATTCTGCACTAAAGATGCATGCTTATATTCAGAAATTATGTTGACAATACGGCAATGAATGTGACATGTTTACCTTAAGATCAGCTCCTCTCCTAGAAATAGATTCTGCTGTTCTTGTAAAATCTACAGGTAATACATCATCCCAACCAAAGAATTTTGTTTTGAATATCTGAGATTCTGTCCTGGAAGAAAAAATCAATGTATTACTTTATTGAATGGTTTGGTTTTTCTATTGCTATATTTTTTTTCTTTAATTCTTATCCCCAAGATTTTATATAGAGCTAGACATTTCTATATAATTACTTAGTATGAAGACAAATAAAAACAGGGTTTTTTTTTTACAGATGAATGAGGTACTAATATAGGATTAAACGCCTTTTTAAAGGAATTTATTGGTGTATAAACTCGACCAATTCACTCACAAACAAATAAAAGTCCGAAGGACTTTTATGATATGTTTGTGAGTGACTTGGTCCAGTTTATACACCAATAAATTCCTTTAAAAAGGCGTTCCTTATAATTCTTCAAATTGGAGACAAGGAATTTATTTTTCCACACTCATAACCTCTTTCACACATAAATTGTATAATTATGTCATTGATTTTAGCCTGGCACATGAGTATATTTATTTGTTAAAGCAAAAGTATGTACTCCATGAAATTTGCTATCTGATAAAAAATAAACTACAAAAAATCATATTATCATTCAAATGAATGTTTTGTGTTTATTATTTAATTGAACGATTAACGCGAAGTGAAAATAAATATTTTAAACGTCGAGCCGGATTGTGTTATTATCATCGCCATCTTGTTTACATTGGTTACAAAAAGAAGTTCGGTCAACGTTGTCTATCGAAAAATAAACAACGTCAAGAACAACTACCGGAAGTCCTCTCAGCCAATCATTTCAACGTATTCCCTAATATGCAAATCATATAAGAATTATTTGATTATATTTTATTGAGTTTTTTTCTCATTTACATACACCCCCAAATTCTTTCTTTTCAAATTGTACTTACCCCTGTAAACATCTAGTCACTGTACAATAATCTGGTCTATCAATCATGGAGTTTAATTCATATGATAGTTTTAAGGCTGCAGCTCTGATCAGTCTGGTAGACTTCTTTCCTATCCTTTAAAAAAAACCAAGATTTTTTTTCATTTTTTTTTTCAGCACATCATGTCATTTCTGTCATAAAAGATATTAATAACAAGTCACTAGCAAATAATATCATGCAGATTGTGCTATTTGTGAAAAAAACATCTGAATTTTATAATTGTAAAGGCTCGATATCATTACCAATTTTTTTTTTAATTAAAAATACAATCACTATTATAGTTAAGACTGTTAAATAAGCAGTAATTTAATTTTATGATATCTAAAATTTTAATTTTAATTTGTTTTGGTCCACATGTGGCACACTTGTTAATTTCAATAAAATATGTAACTCTATATTCATATGGTAGTTCAACTGTATTAAAATGCTACATACCATACAAATAGATCAGATTTACAATCCAGTATATACACATTTTTTGTGTCCAGTAATTTCTGTACAAGCCTTCCTTTTGGAATCTCAACTGAAAAAAATCCACATAAGAGATCACATAAACATTTCTCAAACTCTTTAAAGTAGGTACGATATGGGGCCCTAAAATCAAATTACTTCAAACTGTCTCTGATTTGCAGAATTTGAATGTTAAATCTATATAATTTAATAATGGGGAAATAACAGTTTTGGTGCAAGTATCTCCTTCTTAAGGTTCAAAACTACAGTATATTCAGTAAAATGGTTTTAAAACACTTAGAAATAATATAAAGCATAACCCTCTGGCCAAAAAGATATTTACACAGGATCTGTATTTTATATCTTTCTATTCACTGGCAAAATACTATTATGGGGGACACTTATGCTCTATAATGTGGCCTAATGTTCCTGAAATAAGTTTATTTTGCTAAAATTTTTATAATCTCCCTTAATAAGTCACTTTAATGATATAACGGAAAATTGTGTTATCAATTTTAAGGAAATATTTAAATTTATAGTATGTGTAAAAATTGAGATTTAGTAATGGTATCATAAAATGTTTTATTTACGCTGAAGTGACAAGGCCAGATAAGTCCTTAAATGTATTTTTTCTTTAAATCTTCGAATTTTTATTACTAATTTCTCCACAATTTTTTCCTGATAAGAAAATGGTTGAGAAATGGGTATTAGAAGGAGGGTAGCATATTGCATCAAAGAGATATAACTTACATCAGTCAGTGAATTCCATTTAAACATTTTACTTTTACCTAACATTAAAGCTATGCCTTAAATACCTACAATCTGGGAGCCAGATACATCATAGCCAACCTTAAGTCCAAAATTCTAAGAAAAGTGACCTTAATGTATAGTTCTTTGTTCTCATTTTTCCATTATCAAAAGGAAAAAATACAATTCATAAGTATAAAATTATTGTCCATGATATTGTCTGCAAAACATGACATTTAGGTATCATAATATAACAAAGTTGGTATATGCCATTTATATATAAACATCTTGTTAACATGTGGAAAAATAAATTGCTTCGCCGAGCGCAGCTGGATAAGACTGCAGAGGTCCAACCCTGAACAGTTGGGGCGAAAATGGACACAATATTCACGCTTGATACAGGTCTGAATTTGGATTGTAATTAAATATTTGACACATAAAAGGTTTATGACACAGAATAACTGTAGTCAAAGAACTTAGAATTGGTTATATGATTTGAATTATTATTAAATTTTTTGCTTTTGTGCAATACACTATGCTGTTGCGTATTAACCCCCCCCCCCCCACTTTTTTTTTGCAAAAAAAAATAATATTTGGAGAATTTTTCTTTTTAATTTCTGAAATCTGAAATGAGAAAAAATTGACTCCCCACAATTTCTCCCCCCCCCCCCCAATTTTTTTTTCACCTCCCCCCTCCTTTTTTCCCCCAAAAAATTCTTTCCCTCAAGATATGGTCTTAATCTCAATTCAAATTTCCAATGGAGTTTGCAACCATAATTACCCATTTAAATTTACCATAGTGCTAACTTAATCTATTTTATAATAGAATTTAAAATATGGTGTCAAATCTTTAAAAAAGTTATTGTCCATTAACCAGGACACCCTTGTTTTCCCCCCTTTTTTGCCCCTAATTCCTAAATGGTTTGAGCCATAACCCCCCAATGCAAATCCTAACCATCCCTTTGTGGTATGGAAACTTGTGGTATAATTTCAGAGAGATCCATACACCGTTCCACAAGTTATTGTCTGGAAACTAGAAAAATGCCTATTTGGGCCCCTTTTTGGCCCCAAATTCCTAAACTGTTAGAACCATAACCCCCAAAATCAATCCCAACCTTCCTTTTGTGGTTATAAACATTGTGTTTAAATTTCATAGATTTCTATGTAATTATACTAAAGTTATTGCTGGAAACCAACTGTCTTCGGACGACGACGACGACATGATACCAATATACGACCGCAAAATTTTTTGCGGTCATATAAAACTATTTCTAGCTGGTTTTGGGGTATTTGTTTTGGCTTTTATTCATTGTTGGGTTGTTGTTATATTGACATGTAACATCTCCTTTTATTCATATAATTACCCTGTGGTAGCTCTAAATATCCCATTCCTAAGCCTACTTTGTATAGCCTGGGTTCTGCTGGCTCAAAATCATCTGGTACAATTTCCTAAAAAGAATATTAATAAAATATTGTAACAAATAACAAATTTTCCTCTGAAGTGTATCTAGTATTAGTGCAGAACTTTCTATATTATCAACTTTGCATATCTATTCATGGCTGTTCCATAAAAACATACATGGGACCCAGGGGAGGCAATTTGAATTTGCCACTACACAAAAAGTTAAACAGAAATGTACAGGTGAAATATATATAATTCAACTTTTGACTCACCCCAATGAAACCATCTGGTTGAGCTCCTAAAGCTTTCCAAAATCCGGCCTCTTCTCTAGCTTGGGACTCCATATGAATTTCTGCCTTATTCTTCCTTTCATTTTTGTTGATCTTTTCTGCTACCAGTCTGAATGAAATCATTTAAATAATCTCAATTTTTCTAACAGAACAAAATCTAGTTATGTATAATTCAATTTTCTATCATTATCCTATATAAAAATAAGATGTGGTATGATTGCCAATAAGACAACTCTCCACCAGAGACCAAATGACATACAAGTTAACAACTATAGGTCACTGTAACCCCCTTCATCAATGAGTTAAACCCATACCGTACAGTCAGCTATAAAAGGCCCCAAAATGACAAATGTAAAACAATTCAAACAAAAAAACTAACAGCCTGACTTATGTACATAACAATGAACGAGAAACAAATGTGATATTCAACAACAAACAAACCAGCAGTTGATTTGTTCTGTTTATTTTTGTTTTTGTCACTGAACTTGGACAATCTGATAATACATTTCCTTGAAAGTTTGGTTTAAAAGTTGTCATAATGGATAGGGAGTTTAGTTCTATCAATTCTCACAATGTTTCATTTTTTCAACAAGATTTTGTGAAAACAAACATGGAGTGCATTTGTAAGTAACCTAATATTATGTAACAATTCTGTAATAATGAATAACATCAAACTTCAGTTGTAGTCAGACATGTAAAAAATAGTCAGATTTTAATCACATAACATAAATAGTGTAAAAATTTGGTGAAACTAATATGGAGTTATAAATAATACATAATGTGGAAACAGTCATTTTTATTCAAGAAAATTTTTGAACTCTAGAACAACATAAGTACTATTCCATTAAAACATCATAGAAGGGTAGGAAGTGATGTTAATGTGGAAATCCCTTCCTAGCCTCCTAAATCTATTTTAAGGGAAAAGCTCTTACAGAAAATCTTAAATTATTGAGAACAAGCCCTCTTAATGGAACCTATTATTGTGTCAACATCTGTCTAGCCAAATTTAATTATTGTGAGATGTTCTGGAATAATCCAGTCATTCAGTGATGTAAACACAATATCATATGTATATCCATTAATTCTCACCTTGTTTTGGTCCTAATTGTTCCTCTTGCCATCTTGCCAACCCATACAAATATATCATTGCCATTATCCAACAGATACACAAATCTTCTGTCTAATGACCGGACACCAACATCAACCTGCAAATAAAATTATTTCTTTAGTATACTAATCATACTGCATATTATATTCAAGATATAGTATATGCTTTATTTTTAAGAAATTAAACACAGTATAATGGAACTTTACATTCATGAATGAATACACTTTTATCTACTTTAATAAAGCATTCAATATAATTTAAGATGGAAGTGTGGATTGGTTATTTAAACTAAACATAATATTATAGTTCATATAACATGAACTTACTTCAAATTAGGGTATAAGAAAACATGAGGCATGCCTCTTGGCACAAATGTTTTGAAACTGGTGACCAAAAATTCATCACTTTTTAGGTAACAACATTTTGGAGGCCAGCCCCTAAAAATGCTTTCATCTGAGAACTTATAAAACACATTCTATTCTTAATAAATGTACACTTACCCTTTCCATGTGTATAGCATGTGCCCCTGAAGCTCTGTATAGTTTAGTTTCATATTCCTGTAAAAGATGAATATATGATAATCCAATTATGTAGTAATTCTTCACATTCACGTTATTGATAAAAGGAGTAGGTCCAGTAAGACCCCTTTTTGGCCCCAAAATATAGCAGTTTTACAAAATTGTTAAAATGTAAACTTTAAGCTATTTATTGGAAAGTAGAATACTTCTGTTACCTAAATATGGGCTGTTTTTGACAATACAATGCACATATATCGGGTACTAGCATCATTAAGTCATGCTAAATTGCTGAAATCTTCACAATTTTAGCATTTGAGTTAAATTTTAGACGGTTTCCGTCTTAAATGGAAGTGGCCGCATTTGTGTTCATTCTTAATATTTATATGTAAGTTGTATTTGATGATAATACATAACATATATAAAGGTTGAGAGTGAACACGGATGCAGCCAATTTCATTTTTGACAAAAACCATCTGAAAAGTGACATATTATGGCATATTTGACAGATTTTTCATATTTAAGCTTGAATTTGAGTGTCTTTAATGACTAAATCAGTTCCAATCTTTCACATAAACTAATTGAATCGATTGAAGTAGACACTTAAGTGTTTAAAAAGTGTCCAAAGTTTTTCGTCAGATGAATCTGAAATTTTGAGGCCAAAATCGGTTCTTACCGGACCTACTCCTTTACATTTCACTGTATACCTACTTTTTTGATATTCTTAAACATCTGTTTCCTTTTTTAATTCTTCAATCAACAGGATTAACTTTAATATTAATAAGGAAACTAATGAGGAGAAAAACATGTACTCTGCCCTCGCCTCTGGTAAGCAAATGTAACTTAAGTTCAGTCCAACATGCTAGTGCATTTTTTGATCAACTATGTGAGGGCAAAATAAATTTATTAGAGCACCAGCAAATTAACTAGCCTATATGCATAGCAAGTGGATCATAATACCTGATTTTGACATTCTGAAGATAGAGAGATCTTCAAAAATCACAAAAATGTAAGTTTGCTAATTTTTTGGAAAACTTATACATTGTAGCTTAAATTAGAAATTTTTGTAATTTTTGTGAAATAATTTTCAATAAATATTAATCCTTAAAATACATTAGTAGTGAATGACTTACAACAGTATCTGCACTAAGAAACCACTGGTAGTCCTACCACCTTCTATGTACTTACAACAGTATCTACACTATAGAAACCACTGGTAGTCCTACCACCTTCTATGTACTTACAACAGTATCTACACTAAAGAAACCACTGATTGTCCTACCACCTTCTATGTACTTACAACAGTATTTACACTAAAGAAACCACTGGTAGTCCTACCCCCTTCTATGTACTTACAACAGTATCTACACTAAAGAAACCACTGGTAGTCCTACCACCTTCTATGTACTTACAACAGTATCTACACTAAAGAAACCACTGGTAGTCCTACCCCCTTCTATGTACTTACAACAGTATCTACACTAAAGAAACCACTGGTAGTCCTACCACCTTCTATGTACTTACAACAGTATCTACACTAAAGAAACCACTGACTGTCCTACCACCTTCTATGTACTTACAACAGTATCTACACTAAAGAAACCACTGGTAGTCCTACCACCTTCTATGTACTTACAACAGTATCTACACTAAAGAAACCACTGGTTGTCCTACCACCTTCTATGTACTTACGACAGTGTCTACACTAAAGAAACCACTGGTAGTCCTACCACCTTCTATGTAATGCACACCATTCTCAAACAAGTCCATAAACTCTTCAGATTCATCCTCCATTTCTTCTCTAATTGTCCTACATTCTGCTCCCAGTAAATTACGAAGGTTTACTGCATGTATCGCTGAACAAGCCTTCTTATCAAGCTAAAATGGTATAATATTAATTTTATTGTATAATGTACATAGTATCAGGATCACAATATTTATAAGGAAGGAAAAAGATGATCATTATGAAAATAAACATTGCATATTTGCTAATATGTTTTCTTTTCCTTTTAAGATTTCTTATACTATGAACTTCAACACATAAGGCTTAATTTATATTTAAGTTTCTGCAAGAGGGCTTTCAAATTTACTTCAGTTAACTCAGATTTTTAATCAATTAAGTTAAACTTATCACAGTTCAAATGCAATGAACAAACAGGTATTTTACCTAGACTGACAAAATACTTCAACTTTTCCAAGTTTTCAACAAAACAGAGTTCCACATAGAGAGATTCTACTGTATCTGTATAAACTGTACTGTTGCCTATACATGTACTTGCTTACATCCACTTCATTTGAACTGTGGTGGATAGTTGTCTCACTGGCAATCATACCACATCTTATTTTTATATACTATGAAACCTGTCTGAAGTGAATCCTGCATTACTTCTATGTCATTTGGTCTCTCTGGTGGAGAGTGTCTCACTGGCAATCATACCACATCTTCTTATCTTATATTAACCAGAAACATGTGAAGTGGACTGCTGCATCATCACATACAGTGAATACTCTTTAATGTTTAACTTGTGTAAACCAAGCACCTGGCTCATCCAAACAAGATATGCAGCCCTGGATGGCTTTAGGTCGAACACGTTAAACTGTAATGTGTTAAACCTACCGTTGTTGTTTTGCCTATCCAATACCAGATCTGCCAATCCAGACCATTAGAATCATTTATAAATGTCTTCAATACTATATAACAATCTCTCTCATAAAACTTTCCCATCAATGCTGAAAAGTAAAGCATTTTTTATATTTTTTTTCAATTTATAATAGTTATGAATTCAGAAAATGTGTTTTATTTACTAAAGGATAAGTATATATCAAATAAGGTGAAAACAATTATTACAACTACATTTATTGACAAATATTCAAAATTTAAAACTGATTAATTTGTAAGAAAACTGATGCATTCCTATATGTTACATGATGTAATTCAAATAATACCTTAATGACAAACCCTATATTAAAAGAATTTATTAAGAAAACAGTGTACCATGCGTAATACATAAGCTAAACCCAGGCAATCAATAAAAAATTAACATTCATGCAAAGTTTTCAGATTTATTTTTACAAATTGTAGTCCAGGAAATAAGCAACAACAGGGGTAATTTTTGTTTATGAATACACACACTAAAACCACCATCCTAATGATCAAGAAAAATTTGAAGAAATTAGGCCATGGCAAACTTAAGTAACTATTCAATATTTCAAGATTTTTTTTATTAAACCTCTGAGGACTAAAATGGAAAAGGTGAAAATGTAAATGGACCCTTTCAATCCTCTATCACAGTTTTTCATTCATGTTTGTTATTACTATGGACCTAAGTCTGAAAGAGACATAATGTTAAATCACTGTTGTATCATATTGGTTTGTAAAAAATTTACCTTAAGCCTTTTTTTTTAAAGCCACTAATGCATGAAGTAAGAGGTGAATGTTCTTGATCAAATGTCAAATTTGCCAAAATAATACTGAATTATGAAAAAGCGTTTTTTAAGGCAGGTTGAAGGAATCAAGACTTATTTTTAAATTTTAATTTTTTTGTTTGTTTTGTTGACTTTGAAGAAGCCATGCATCATACATGAAGAATGATCCTGAAAATTCACAAAAATGTTGACAGAACATGCTCTTAAAGCCGACAAAGTGTTACACCATGATGATTATGTAAAGTTTTTTTTATCAGGACTTATTTCAAACAACTTCATTGTTGACATAATTATGGGGAAATGATATTTGAAAATAAACTATTGAAATTTTAAGGATTCATTAATGTATATAGCTTTTTAGAAAATAAAGACTATTGCAAATAAATTTGTACATTTAACACCTTGCAAAGAAAAAACAAAAATTACAGTACTAAAATTTTAACTGAGAGGGGAATACTTTTTTCAAGAATTCAGGATTTTTGGGATTTAATTGTATCCTGATAAGGGAATGGACACATTATTTTCACAGGAATTTAGGATTTGGAATTTATATTCCCCTCCTACCCCTACCCCTTTACAAGCAGCTCATACGGAGTAATTATAAACTACTTCAGTAAGTATTTTTAGGATATATTATCTTATCCATTTATAAGCATTAAAAAGGGTAAAATTACATGTCAAATACAGCATTCTTTAAAAAAAATTACATGTATAAGTAGCTGACCCACAAAACTTTACAATGTCAGCTTTTCCCTGCAAAAACTGTATGTGTTAATGATATATAAGGCATTTAGCCATTCTGTCAAACTCTTACAATACAAGTCCTCTAAGAGAAGACAAGTACATTAATGCAAAACATTACAATTAGACTTACACTTCCTTCTTGTAAAAACTGAAAATTAATCTACATAAATCAACATGGGTTTCCTTTTCCTATAAAAAAATTAACAACCTAAAAAACTAAATTTTCCTTTAAAAAACCTGGTGTATTCCAATCAAACAAATTGTATCCCTTTCTTTTTTCACTCATAGAATATTCTACTTTTCCGAGCTTATAGTTAAACCATGCACAATAAATATGCTTATAAGATATTTTGGTAAATGCTTTGTGGTTTTTAAATGGGCTACATAATATTCATTTGGACTTTGGTAGAAGGTTTAACCATACTATAAATTGAAGATCCCTATATCAAAACTAAATATGAATTAAAAACCAATTGTTCAGAGAACAATTGAAGGTCTTTCCACATCAATTTTCTAAAATGTTAATAAGAAGCTACTTCCGGTTTACTCAAAGTTGCTTTTGGTGTCCAATCATAGGTTTCTTCATACTGATTCAATAAATATATGGTTTCTATATACTTTTGCCTGAAATAAGGGAGTTAATTGCCAACTTCTGATTAAGAAAATGTCACTTCCAGTCTCATATGATAGCTGTATTTATACTGATTCTAAAAATATATGGTTTATATATACTTTTGCCTGTAAAAAGGGAGAAAATTGGCTACTTCCGGTTTAGAAAATGTCACTTCTGGTCTCATATGATAGCTTTATTCACACTGATTCCAAAAATATATAGTTTATTTATACTTATGCCTGTAATAAGGGAGTTCATTTGCTACTTCCGGTTATAGAATGTCACTTCCAGTCTCAAATGATAGGTTTATGTATGCCCATTTAAAAAATATATGGATTCTAGGTACTTTTCCATGAAATAAGTGCAAGAATGACTATTTCCGGTTTACTCAAGGTCACTTCCGGTTGACATTTTTCAAGGTCATATGTCACCCAACATTTTGCAAAAGACATTATGGCTTTATTATGTACCAATCTGAAGTAACAATCAATTTACCTTAAAATAAAACATTTCAGGGGTAATAACTCCTAAAAGATGCCATGTTTTAGACCAAACATATCATATCTTCATCACTATGAAGCAAACATTTTGCACTAGTTCTTTTATATATAACTTTAAAAGTGTCAGAGAAAATACAAAAACAAGCAAAAGTCAAAATTGAGAACATGACCTTGACCTCCTATAAGATTTCACCAAATCGCTTCGATCCAAATCAGCAGAAAATTTCTGAAGATGTAACCAATAAATATGAAAAATAATTTTGTCATTATCTTTTTTGGTTACGGAGGAGATACACTCACAAGAAAAACAGTGTTTGGGGAGATAACTCTTACAATATAAAAGTCTAAGGCTTAACAAGATGAGTTTTAAAAGTGCAATAACTGTTTGCTGTTCGATATAATATCCAAAATATCTAAGCGACATCTTTCAAAATAACTTCATACCCCAAGAAAAGTGGAAAGACCTAATAAAGTGTATACTTAGTGTGGACTGAAGTTTATAAAGTGGCCTTTTCTGGCTACAACTTGAGTTAAGTTAATACATTTTACTGTTAATCATCCAAATCCGTTTATCCATCAAAAACACTATTACTAGTCTTCACATTCAGCATTTATCCTTAATTCTTTAAGTTCATTTATTTTCATAACATTTCATTTTGAAAAAAATGGTGATGATGCTCCCGCTTGCAAATAACATTATAAAGGGACATAACTCAAGAATGGTAAAAGTGATGCCACACAAAATCGTATTTGATCTGAGTTTTGTGGATATAAGCATTGTGTATAAGTTTCATAACATTTGGCTGAGGCAAACTTAAGAAAGAGAACGGAAACGAAAAATTCAGCAATTTTTCCATTTGTAAAGGGCCATAACTTAAGAACAGTAAAAGTGACTCCTTCCAAATTCGAACTTGACCTGTGTTTTGTGGCAATAAGCCTTGTGTATGTTTCAAAACATTTGTTTGAGGCAAACTCAAGTTAGAGAACAGAAACCAATTTTGGGACGTAACACTTAATGCCCCCTCTGCTGCGGCTGGGGCATAAAAAAATCATTCATGAGTTCTATCCCTTGAAAACTTGTCCTTGCCCTATGTGCCATCAGGCATAGCAAGGACTAATGGAATAATGAATCCCCTGAAAAATACACTAATTGCCAGCAAAACTGAACTTAGCATTTGCCTTGCTTACTTTTTGGGGACATTATTAATCACGTTTTTTTTTTTAATGTAGTTAGCACTGGTTTTCTATGTAGTACAAGGACTAGTAATTATCTGTAGTATCTTTCGGTTATTATCCATGATCACATGGTTGGTAGCTTCTGATCTGTGGAATACTCCTAAGAATCTTGACCTGATCATGCATAGATTGAAACCTAAATCTTTAAATGATGGGGAAAACAACAAATTTAAGACCACAATTCACCTCAGGAAAAGAGACATGAGGTGGATGTACACAATTCCTAAGATTTACAGGGAAGTAACTTTCTCTGTTCTTATGACTAATTCATCCTATAATTTACAAAATTGTTAACATTTTATTGTAAACCTAACAAAGTTACCCAAATTAAGACTAAGGTTTATTTACATTTCAATGAAAATTTGAGATTTAAAGCAAGATATTAAATAATCAATTATAGTATATATAATACAATACCTTCTTCTACTGGGTTTGGTAGAAAGTTTTCTATCTCCCAACACTGAATCCCTGAAAATACAAATATTAACATATATATTAGTTTTACAATTAAAAAAAACTTCATACCTAATATTTTAAGCTTTGAACTAAATGATTACAAGACTGAAACTTTCACATTGGCACATATCTGCATGAAAATATAGTCTTTAGCATTCAAAATAAAAAAAAAATAAAAAAATTTTGAAGACCTGCATGACAAAAATTTAGCACATCTGATATCTAAAAAATTGACATATGCTAAGTGACTCAGATTAAAAATGGAGATAATGGTGACCCTAATATTCATAAATGGGATGCTTTTATAAAAGGATTGTTGCTGTGAAATATGATTACCACTGTGTTTTAGATAACTGGACCAAAACATAAAAAGATATGTGTTTCCAAGAAAAACAAAAATAGATTGTTTCAAGGAAATGGACCAAAACATGAAAAATGAATAATCAGGATATAAAGAAAAGATCAGCTTTACAGCTTTAGTTACAAAAAATGAAAAAAAAAATAACATGGATTTTATAAATACTAGTATACCTGGTATTTGACCGACATCTTCATCATATATCTCACTGTAATCTAAATGTGGTCTCTCTAAATTCTCATTCCATTTCTTTGGCCTGATGTACAAAAAAATAAATTAAAGATATGTAAATGAATAACAATAAAACTTACAACAAAAAACAGAGACTTAAACAAATAATGATCTATCAATCATACAAGCATACAAGATAAAATTTCTGTCACTTTATCAGGAATGTATGATGTAAAATAAAACATGCCTTTAACAGCTCCTCATTTAAAAGAAAACCTCTCTCTGAAATGGGGTAAAAAAGATCAGTAATTTTATTTTAAATTGAAATAAATGTCATAAAATCAAAGCTGAAGATTGTTTTGTCTTTTGTAGATCACATTCAGAAATATTTTTTTTTAATTTTTAATGAATTGAAATTATTTTAAGATACGAATATAAATAAACAAAAAAGACTTACATTGCTAAGAAAGCACAAGTGCCTTACATAAAATAAATAATTCGCATTTATATTGTCAACTATGCTTTTGACAAATTTTAATTGTTAAAACTTACCTGAACTGAATATGTTATAAATTATGACACAAGTGTTTAGCCTACATATCTAAATTTTGTACAGTTATCAATTTTATCAGACTCAGGTATTTTATATATATATGTAAGTAATCAATATTTATGGTGTGTACGTACCGGAGTGGATTGTCATCTTCTAAATCTATACTTCCCTCTGCCTTATCCTTGGCTACATCTCTCATACCCTATACAAAATATTGTCATGATTAAACATAAATAGCTTCCTGTAATTTTGTAGACCTCATTTTCTACCAAATTCTGGGTTAAATATCAAATTGGACTAAATATTTATATTGAAAAAAGAAAATTAAAATATTTCACCTGCAGGTTTTTAAGTTCTCAATCAGTAACTGTGAGCAATAGATCTACTTATTTTCCAATCTATAAGGAACAATCATGTAAAATAAAGTATCAGACATGCAATTGTAGATCCATACAGGAATGCAACTTTGATTTCGTAAAGTCTACATATAAATAATCCAATGAAATTCTTATTCATGCAATACTTGTCCTATCACCTTTTTTGTATTAAAATAAAACATTTCAAAATTTTCAAACTTTATAGAACTCTTTTACTTGATTGAGGTTCAGCTGTTTAGCAATAAAATTTTAAAAAGCAAATCAAAAAAGTATGTGAGATGAACTGTGACCTTATCAGGCTATGTTATGGTTATATCAGGGTTTTTCAAAGTTTAAACCATAATGAAAACTTCCCAGGAAGACATTTCATTTCATACTACAGATTGTTCATTTTTATATCATTTGTAGGTTTATTTACTTGAACTCATGGATTACGTGGTCAGAGAAAAATCTGAACAAAGCATTCAACATATTTATGATTTACAGTTCCAATGATGTACCATTATATCAAGTATGTTTAAAACAACATCATAAAAAACATATAAATAGGAATCACTAGAAACTTATGACTCTACATACAATAGGTATAAGGCTTGACATCAAAATAAATACCTTTAACACTTTTTCACTTTCTTTCTCTCCATCTCTTCTTTTTCTAAGTCTCAATTTTCTTGCAACTGCATCTCCTTTTTGAGCTAAATAATATGAATCTTTATATTATCTTCCTTATTTTCAGATATGTAATTGCTTGGTAAACAGAATTTACATGCATCAATGTCTTGTGTCTTCTCTAACAAGTGAAATTTTTACACTAGTTATCCCTCATCAATTATCAGAGTGTAGGAGGGAATATGACATGTTCAAATTAATATATCAGTAAAGTTGACAGTGATATAGTTGAGAAACTGTGGTCAATAAGCCAGCATATTGCCTGTCTGTTCATTGTTTTTATAGAATGTGTTATTGTATACAAAGGTTATACTTTTCATATTATAAGTTGTGTTACAGTAATTATGAAGACTTGTGTTGATAGAAGAGCAAGGTCAACTGCTAATCTAACTTATGTATTTATTAACCTAGAGACTGGTGGATAAGTAGTATAGAATATAGTTAATAAATATTTTCTTACGAGGAGACTGGTCTGCTGTTGGTGGGGCAGGGGCACCTGCTAATCTCAGCTGTGTATTCAATGAGAAGTCAATATTGTAGTATTCATTTCCTTTCTTCATATCAGCTGGCTTGGGTGGCATAACCAACCCTTGATTTTCTCTAACATCTAAGGTCTACAATAACAGAAAACAGATTCTTAGTGAAATGGATATTTTCATCACAAAAAGAATCTAACAAGCTTATATTGTCTAATTATTATTAACTAGTTATAGTTGATCTAATGACCAGTCATACAACAGCCCACAGTGACCATACCAGTTAAGATTATCACAAAAGCAGCAAAATTCAAGTTAAACAGGAGAATAACTATTGAACAGTTAATGTCAAACTGCTTTAACCAAAATTAAATTGTATTCTAAGGTCCATGTCATCACATAAAATTTCAAAAGATATTATAAAAGAATACTTGACAAAAGATTAGACCAAGCAGTACTTTTAAAACAATCTAAAAACCTTTCAAATTACTTTTAATAAGAACTCAAGCAATAACAGCCAAATCAATATAAACAAAACTTAGCCTGTATTTCATTTGCAACTTTGAAAAAAGTTTGTTATCAAGTCTGTTTTGAATGAAACCATGGGAAACAAAATCACTAAAACTGTCACTCCAAAAAAAGTGGAATAACCTAGAATACTTTTAACATGTTTTAGAAATGTATATTAAAACTTACTTCTAATTCTGGTAATAAATGAAGAATATCTGGCAGTGTCACCAAGCGATTACCATTCAATAATAATCTTTTCAATTTTCCACACCTGAAAAATATTTCTTGTTTTAGATATACTTTCTAAGTACTGTGGATTCATTATTATTCGTGGGATACTAATTTTCTCTGATTTCATGGAAAACCATGAATTTAAATGTCCAACAAAGTACAAATTTTCTTTAGGTTTGTATGCAGACCACGAAATCAAATATCAGCTATTGTAAATTACTCAATCCAGAAAAATAAATGAATCCACAATAATCATATTCATTATTGTCTACAAATGCATATATGTTTTGAATCTGAATATCATATTTGGTTCAGTCCTTTAAAAAAACTAAAAACCATAAAGTAATGTGAAGTATATGTTTCTGTCTAAAATTCCTTTAAATGTGTTTACATATATTTACCTGCACAAACCCTCAGGTATCATCTCGAGATTATTATTAGCAGCACTGAACACCTCTAGATTGTGTAGTTTACCAATATTAGCAGGAATACCATCAAAATCTAACTGGTTACTGTTTATATACAACTTCTTTAATGCTACCAGTTTGTGTAAAGAAGACTAAAAATATAAACATGTAAACTTTGTCAAACCTTAATACATTTATTCATGAGTAACAAATTAATAAATCATTAATAGCTCAAAAATAAAGTTCTAAATGCAATTATAAATATATAAGTAATGTTCTCAATGCAAACATAAATATACCAGGCCTGGATTAGTTACATGAAATAATCAAAATGAATATACTGTATAAGACTTTCATATTTATAAATATTATTTTTTTTTACAATTTTGGGTAAATGAGTTTTCGGTATAGAAACTGTCCTTTACAAATAGACAGCGACTCTAATTTAGTCAAATATTACTTTGACATATATTTCATTCATATTTTGAACTGTAATAAGGTATTAATCTAACAACATCAAAACTTAAAACACTAACATGCATTTTTCAGTAATGAATCAGAAGTAAATTCTTACAAATTCATATCTTTAATATATTGTATATTATTAGTCATATTCTTAGTATTCCTGTCACAAGAGAATGCCAGATTTTTTTACAATGAAGTTTCAGCAAGACAAATACAATCATTACTTATAAACAATCTTTTGTATTGTTTTTATTTCTGCCAAATAGAGCACCTAAATTTAAAGATTGATTGTTGGTGTTTAACACCACATTCAGCACTATAGCTTATATCGTGGCGGTCATTTTTTATTGGTAGAGGAAGTTGGAATATCCAGATATTTAACTTTACAATCAGATTGTACCAATTTTTATACACAAATGCTTATCTTAAGACAATACCTAAGACTCAATTAGTAACATCTATTTAAACTGATAAATCAACTTACCGGTAATGCTGTTATCTTATTTCTTGATAAATTCAGTGTTTCTAAATTCACCCAAGTATCTAAATATAAGAAAAAAGTGCATAGTATTTATTACTAATATACACTATCAAATATTAAATTCTATCTCACATAAGTTATTTTTTTTCATGTGGAAATAAATAAGTATTTTCATTAAATAACAAAATATATTACCACTTACAAGTGGTTTTTCCTTTAAAATATATACTGGAATGAAACATCCACACTAATCAAGCAATTTTATTGGTTACCTTGACAACATAAGCCTATAAACCCTGTGAACAAAAACGAAGTTCAGAACAATAATTAAGGTTGAAAACAGGACAGTCCAGTATAATTTAATTGTTATTTAGGCTTCACAGTGGATATGTGCTAATATTCTCTGTGAAAATCCCTAATATAGTAATAACATATGATGTCTTTATGCAATTATTCATCTCTATTTTCAAATATTCACTGAAGGAGCTTGCAAATAAAATCTAGACCTAAAACTTCACTTGTACATTATCCTTAAAGAATTCATCAATATATTTACCTATAACAAGAGAAAGCTCTGTGATCTGATTGTTGGACAAATTAAGTCGTTTCAATGGTGACAGTTTGTACAAAGTCTCTGGTACTCTTGGCAAATCATTGCCAGACAAATCTATATCTACAAAATATCAACCAAAATATTGAATCAATATTTTATTAATTTTTTAAAAACTGTTTTTCCCCTTCAGTCAGTCTTTTATGACTTGTCTCTGTACTGCAGAATTTACCTACTTTATGTTTTTGCAACATTATTTCATAAGTTGAAGCATTTTTACCATGTATAATAGTACATTTACATCACAATTAATGTAAAATTTAAATACCATTAGTAGGAAATACATATTTGTAATGTTTCTCTTGAGGGGAAGCATGTTTGACATTAAATACACATCATATTACCCCTAAATAAATTATGTTTTAGAAGCCCAATTGTAATGATTTTATAAATCAATTTGTACATAGGGTTTAATTTTTTTTAACAAAAACTTTGGAAATGATGAAAATCACAAAAATATTCAGACTTCCGTTGAAAATATTTGGTAAACATGAATATGTGTCCATAAGAAACAATGCCCAACTCACATTATCACATTTTGATGGTTCAGTCAACTGCGAAACCTGGGTAAAAACCATAATTTGGCATATAATTTAAAAAAAGGACAGGACTTGATACTCAAAAATATTAGGCAATGACGTCACATGCACAAGTGCATCCACGTCACTTTATCAATGAAATGCATGTGACTTCATTCATACAAACGAACAATTATCCCAACATTTTGTATGCATAAAAGTAGTTTTACTAACTATTTCATTTTACTTCATATTCTCAACCAAAAAAACATACAGTTAAGACAAAAAAGAATAATGGAATTTTATTTTTTGATAGTGACTTCATCAGCTCGAATATAGTTACTTTTCCATGTTTAGACTAGCATAATTATATGTAGTATCAAATTAATTATATATATATCAAACTTGCTATAAATACCTTGTAAGTTAGTTAATGTGTCTACACCTAATGGAAAGTTGTTAAGTGTTCTCTGTGTATTTCTCATCTGCAATGTTTCTAATGATGTCAAAGCTGGAAGCTGTCTGTAAAAGTTTCAAAGACAAATTAATTTCATTTTAAAATTACATGTAAGGAATCAATTTAAAGTCGGCTCATTATATACATTGTATAATTATTAATGACAATCATAACCACTCAGTTTCCCATTTCATACTGTTCTGGAACTGAGTCATCCCTTTGTCGAATGTTAAACATGCCTTAAACATTACAAGGTCATCCATAAATCAGCTAAAGGTCAAAATTTATTATTTTTCAAAATGTAACATGGCAATTGTTAATCAAAATAATATGTCACATGTCTGAATATTTTCTAAGGAATCAATAAAGGAAGGACTAAATCATACCTTAGCTGTGCATGTATCAGTGGATTATTGTTCAGTATTAATGTTTGTAAGTTTGTAAGTCTTCTCATCTGGGGTGGAAGTGTTTCTGAAATAAAATGTTTTAGCTATAGAACTTGACAAACAAATGACTAAATGAGAGAAGATAACTGCAGTGCAAGCATTGAGACTATTCATCATTGCAGTTCAAATTGTGCAAACTACATGAAAGTGCTTGTTAAAATATACATTTGTACTTCTTATTAAATGAAGAATGTGTCTGAGGACACGAATGCCGCTGCTCAAGCTTGCTTATAATATGTGAAAATACTTTTGGGACAGTCGGATGGAAGGACGATCAAAGATACTGTGAAAGAACTTTTATTTGTGGGTATCAATTTTCGTGGTTTGAACAAAAGTTACATGTTCGTGGGTTCTTAAATTCGTGGATATAAGTTTTCAGAAAAAAAAATCGAGGAGAGAATTTGAAGCCATCAGCAACAAAGATTCTAGAAAATAATCATATGCTGTTTTTTTATGATTTGAGGGACATTGCAAAATAAGGTGTTCATTTTCACTTACTTGTTCATCTTTCATTACTGACAACATTCATAAAATTTGAATCAAATATTTGTTTACAGAAATAAGCTGATTCATCTATGCTTACAAATTGTCTCAATTGAAGGAAATTGCAAAGTAAACATTTTAATTGTTGCACATGTGTAATCAGACACTTATTAACCCGAGATCGAATGATCAGACAAAAACTAACTATTATTTTCACAAAGAACCTTATTTTCTATCAAACAAGTCTATTTTTAATTTTAGATAACATGGGAAATTATTGAGAATAATCAAGAAACCTTACCTAGATCATTATCACTTAGATCCACAAATATTAAATCAGTTAGGTTGATAAACAGCTGATTAGGAATCATGGAAATACTGAAAAAAAAACAATAATAATCCATCAGTACTAAACATATTCATGCAAAAGCTTTGAAGAAATACAGCTTGTAATAAAAAAAACTCCACAACCCATATTGACTCAAATTTAAAATGAAAGACTCTCAATGAGCAGGCATATTTTGCCAATCCCCTTAGATCAATGAAGAAGAAAAAACAACTCTCGCAACAAAATGCCCCTTTCTTAATGACTATGAACACATTCAAGGTTTAAATAAGTGTAAACCTTCTTAATATTTAAAAGGAACTTAACAAGATATGAGGACATTATTGAGACAACATGCATAATCATGTGATATTTGTATATTTGTTTAAGCCCTATTAGATTGCATTCTCCATTGACAATTAAATTCTTTGTTGCTCTCAAAAATTAAATTTCAAATATTGAAAGTCCTTGACCAAAAAAATTTAAATATTAAGGTATCTCCAGTTAGAAATGTCAAATCTTACTAGATGCACTAGTAAAATCTGAAGTTGAAAGTTTATTCAGATAATTTTATCATAATAAACTAGTTCTGTATGATTTTCAAATTTGGTAAAGAAAATCTGCTCATGTTACTTTGTACATGAGTGATCACATGGTTTATTATAGAAGATTCCTGGATAGAAATCTAGCTCCAGTAAATTAAGTATAAAATAAACACTACATTATCATGTAAATTGATTATATTTCACATCAATACTTACTTATTGTGAGCCAAATTCAACACAATACAATTCTTGGCATTTTCTAATTGTGGTGGAACATCTTCCAACTGATTGTGACTCAAATCCTGTGAAGAAAAATGTAACATTAATTCTTAACAACTATGTCTATAACTAAAAAAATGAAACATTTTCTAATAAATAAATGGTCAAACTGTAAATTACTTACAATAATATGTACCAAAAAACAATGTTGCCTGAGATTTTAATTTTTATATGAAAAACCATCAGCAAAATTTTTATTTTTTTTTTGCTAGGAGAGTTTCTGCATGTAAATCACATTTTGTTTGATCCTCATGATCAATACTTTTGAAACTAGATGACTTGTCTCTGAGACATAAATGACATGCCTAAAAAGAACTGGCTACAAACTCTACTGAAATGCAAAGCTTACAATAAAAAAAAAAAAGACGACAAAAATGTTCAAGTATGATTAAAAGGAGGTTTGAGGTACTGTTTAACTAGTTAAAAATATATCTTTTTTTAAATGTATCCTTTTAATGATTAAGTCACTTTAACCATTAATGTTAAATATGGTAAAACATTAGATGAATTCTATAATGTACCAAGAAATATCATTGCATTATCAGATTATAATTATAAATTTCTTATTAAACAAAAATACCCAACTTGGGACAGGCACATACAGAATGTGGCGGGGTAAAACATGTTTGTGTGCGCCCAACCCTCCCCTTACCTGGGACAGTGGTGTAACAGCACAACATATGAACAAACTATAAAAATCAGTTGAAAAGGACTTAACTCATCAGATCAATACAAAGCAGAAAACATCTAAGGAAAACACAGACTGGACATGGCAGGGTATTTATACATCCCCACAACAAAAAAGACACTACCGGGGGTAAGTGCAGATCTGAGAGTACTCGCAGTTACTGACAGCTACTTCAAAGCCAATAACAACTAATAAAAAAATCATGTATCTAAGACTAAAATATCAATCAGTGCACATTCAACATCCAATGGATTTATTATAAAGACGCCACTAGCAGTCAGATAAAAACATGACCTTGTGCAATGCCAAAATACAGGTAATGACAGATTGTAGAACCATTTTTTGCAGGACATGGTCATCAAGAATGTGTTTTCTTCATGCTATTGGAATAGTCTTTGTTTTACTCATCTATGTAATACTTGTATACAAATGTATGTATAATACCTTATAGAAATTTACCGGTATAAGAGTGTTAACAGTTGTATCATAAAACTATGATAATTTATTGCTGTGATAATTGCAACTAACTTAAAACTTTGTTATAGTTTTATTACTTATAGTCATCAAACAAATCAGTTCAACTCAGCATTGAACTACTGCCTTTTTTAAAACTTACCACAACTTGCAAATCTTCAAGATCAAATATTTTACCAGGTATGCCATCATCAGTAATTTTATTGTGTCGACAATTAACTGTCCGTAAAGCAGTTAATTTTGCCATGTCTTGTCCAAGATCTTTTATGTTGTTTTTTATGCACGAAAAATGTTCCTAAAGAAAAGAAAATAATGAAGATTTAAATATAATTAACATACTGACTATTCATCACATAAAAAAAAAGATTATACACATAAATGTAAACTGAAGACATAAAAAGTTTACATGCCATTTATGTCTATAACAGTAATCTGTTACACAAGTCAACAAGTTATTCAGAAATTGATATAAAAATTGTATGTATTTGCAAAACTCCAGACTTCAAACCTAAATACATGAACATTATGTGTACAGAAATAGTAATCTTCTATAGAAAAAATGAAGACTAATGTGATATTTAAAAAGACAATTTCAGTTAAATTACCAGTTTTTTCAGTTTGTAAATTTCCTCTGGCATTTTATCCAAATTTGTTTTGTTAAGTCTCAGCCATCTTAATCCTGACATATCAGCAATCTCTACTGGAAACTTGTCATCCTTAAAAAAGAACAAATTCTTATAAGTTCAAGCTATCATATATTTTGTATAAGAACATGCATCACTTCAACTATTCTCAAACAATGTATTATTAATGACAAATTGAATATCTAATTTTAAAAGTGTGACTAAAAGATGATGTAAGGTACATGTACATGGTTAATGTGAATGAGACAGCAACCCATCACCACAAGTTAAAATATTAAAATGATTGTTGTTTGCTTAAAATCCCCCAAAATTAGACATCTAGAGTCACCATACAGCCTTCAATGTAGAGCAATCATTTGTATATCTTAAACTTAGAACAGTTTCAGTTTTCATAATATTCTCTTAATTCCATTTGGAATTTGGTTGCAATTTCCAAATTTAAGCATATTTTTCTTAAAGCTGGTACATGTACCATATTTCAACTGAATTATATTATATATCTTAGCAAATAATAACATGAACTTTTAAATTAATAAGCCAAATAAAGCATACATTTATATGTTTATCAACTGACAACACACCCAATTTTGTTGTCATCATCCTATTACCAAAAGTAATCCATCAATGGCATCATATTATATAATCATTGCAACACTTAACAATTGAAATACTCTGTTACTATATTCCAGATTTACAATGTTTTAAGTAAAATTTCAAATAAAAAGTCTGTATAACTTTTGACCTAGCTGAATTTTGTAATATACATGTTATAAGGGGGAAGGTCTATTAACAGGACAGATAAAACCAGGACAGTTATTTTCGATACGTTTTCATCTGTAACTTTTGTTTTAACAAACATATTGTTAAAATTTAAACTGTATAATAAAGAACAGGGTATATACTTACATTATTTGTAAAAAAAATTAAAATAAAAAATTAATAAGTTAAAAAAAATCTGCCAGGACAGTTAAATTTTAAGAAAAAAATGGCTGAAATTGCCGAGAAAAATTTACTTATAATTGAAATCATTTCTCCAAAACAACTGTCTGGCATAATATTTTTGTACGATTATAAAGTTTAGGGAATACTCATTCTAAAAATCTAGAAATTAATATAATTTTCGATTTTTAAAGGTAAAAAAATCTGCCAGGACAGTAGCCTATTACGTTAGAAATTTTGTTGAAATCAGCTCAAAATCAAAATATAAAGTTAAATATCTTCTTCAAAATGAATGTCTGGTAAGCAAATTTTGGTTCATTGGAAAGTTTGAAATATAAGCTTTAAGAAAAAATAAAAAAATATGGACTTTTATTACATTAACACAAAAAAAATCTGCCAGGACAGTAGCCTTTTGCGTCAGAAATTTTGTTGAAATTCGCTTTAAATCAATGGATAAATTTGAATATTTTGTTCAAAATGCATGTCTGGCAAGAAAATGTGTGTTCATTGGAAAGTTTGTATTATCAGCTTTATGAAAATATAAAATTTTATGAACTTTTATTTTGTAAACGTAAAAAAAATCTGCCAGGACAGTAGCCAACTATGTTAAATGTTTGAATAAATGGCGGAAATCAACGTAATTTTTTAATTATAAATGAAATAGTAATTTTAGGTAAACGGACAGAAAGTCACAGGACAAAAAGTCACAGGATTTAAAGTCACAAATTTGATAGGACAAAAAGTCACAAATAATTTGTTGACAATTGTTTGAATATATAAGAGAAAGATCTTGAAATAACTTCTTTTTATTACATTTATTAATTTTTAAGTTTAGGAAATTGTTCATAAGCCTTGATAAATGAAAATTTATTAAATTTTGATTATGCAAAGGATATATTTCTTGGCACAATGAAGCCATTTAAGTACCAAGCCACTTTGACATTTTTTTTTCATAACAACTATTTGATCATTATTGATATTTATTGAATACATTTTAATTACAAAGTTGCTTCATATATAATGGTTCAAGAAAAAACAAAAATTTATTTTTTTAAATTAGTGCTTTCTTGTTTAAAGAAAAATAATCTCAAAACTGAAGTGTGACTTTTTGACCTGTGACTTTTTGTCCGTGACTTTTTGTCCGTGACTTTTTGTCCTGTGACTTTCTGTCCTACATTCTAATTTTATTACCATTGTCTGGCATACTTTTTTGATATTATTAGGACCAAATCATTCAAAAAATCTATAAATTTATTTTTTAATCATTTCTTAAAGTAAAACAAATATGCTAGGACAGTACCTTGTTACATTGGAACTAGTGAAGAAATTTGTTTTAAATTTAAAATAATTCTCAAAGATTTTTTTGTTTTTTCTATTCAAAGTTTGCAGTTTAAGCTTTATCAGTGATATATTCATGAAAGTGAACATATTTAGAAAACATAATTATTGGTGTGTTCATTAAAAAAATATTTACTTATTTCGTTATGTTGATTAATTTGATCTCTTTTCAGTTTATTTAAGGTAGCAGACAGATCATTGAAAGGGCATGGGCTTATATTTTATTAATCAAAAACATTTCATACACATACATGCATATATATAAATAATCATACAATACAATAAAAAAAAAAAAACACAAAAATTAAAAACTGTAAAATCTCCTTTATGTCGGAAGCAAACTCTTAACAAATTAAATTAAGTTTTGACAGTAATAAAAACTTCAAAGTCACTGATTGGTGTCAAATCCTCATAGGTGTTTATTCACTAATTAGTAATGTGTTTAGAGCACAGGAATGTGTCACCTTCTTTTATCCCCGTACACGAAACGTGTTTCCAAATGTTGCATTTTTTAACTCCTTTCTGCCATTCACACCCTAACATGTCTTCTACTGAATCACATTTGCCACACTGACAGTTACATTCCACCACACTAGTTTTATATTTCGGTTTACCTTTCATGCCAATTTTTTTCTTTGGAATAAATTCACCTTTTTCTAAACAAATCACAAGATGTTCTCTAAAAATTTCTGTGTCAAATTCTACATGTATTCCACCTGAAAAACTTGTAAAACAAAATTCTACAGCATTTGCAATTGCAAACAACCCACAATCTATGGAATTAGTTTGTTTCTGAACTTCTGGTATCTTGACCAACAGACGTTTTTTACCATGTGAATATATTTGTGAAAGTTGTATTTCTGAAGATGTTGTAAGTGTGTCGTACATGCTGTCCAATATATAAACTTCATTTGATTGTTTGGTTAAAGAAGTAACCCAGTGTGAATGTCCTGTATGATGAATTTGTACAGCCGGACCCTGTGTAGGTGTAAAACTTGTCTCAGAAAGCCATTTTTTTTTTGATTACAGAAAACTGGAGCATAACATGTGTTCTGGAAACCCTGGATTAATGGAAACTGTTTTAAAAGAATTTTTTGTGCATAATTAACAATGTCGGAAGTTAAACACTTTCTATCTGAAATTATTTTTTTGTCTACTTGTGTAAGTGTACCTACCCATGGTTTTTTTTCCTGTTCAATTTCAATCGAAATCGGCGGAGTTGGAAATTCAAGTTTCATTTTTTTACTTGGTGGTGTCTCATCTAATGTAACTATGTTATCTTTTTTTTCGTCTGGTGAGATATGACATGAATCATTGTCGTCCTCGTTAACGGTCTCCAAATTGAAGTGTAGTTTCTTTTTAGAATGTGGTGTTTTTGATTTTGTTTTTAATGCGGATTTTTGTAGTGATTTTTGTGTTGAATGTCCTTGTGACGGTGTTTTTGGTGTGTTGACTAAATAAGCCGAGTCTGGTGCTGGTTCTACAACAGGATCGTAATCGTTCTGTCTAGGTTGTTTTTTACCTGATTTTTTGTCAACTCTCTTTCTATTGTTTTTTGTTAAAAGTCTGAGATTTACTACTGTTCTTTTTTCAATGGGTTCTTGGCCAATGCTCATTTTTGCTGCAAGGATATGAAAGCATGTAGTAGTAGATGGACACTGACAACTTTCCTTCGGGAATAAGGTGACACAATACTTACCATTTCGACCTTGAACAATGAAAGCACCTTGAGATGGAACAAGTGTGATTAGGTTGTTGTCAACTATATACTTTGCCAAAGCGTGTTGACTACTTACAAAAGCAGGAAAGTCAAACATAGTATTAATGATTGGACTGTCTTTTTCATTTGAAGTGGTGGGTTTACTATGTTCAGTTTTAGAATCGGAATGATCTTCTATTGTTTCTGTCATTACAGAAGACGGAGACGAAAACTGTGGTTTATTAACGTGTTCTGTTTTCAAGTACGAAATTATATCGGATGGTGCTATGAGTTTCTTAGGTATGAACAAATCTTGTATGTCAATTTTTGCCCTCGAAAACTCTGTTTTCAAATGATAGTCTCCAACACCTGCTAAACCTCTAAGAATCTCGTAGTAATCAAAATTTTGTAGAAAATGAAAACCTAAAGCAAGCATATCAACTGGTAACTCTTTCCAATCGTTTTCTTGTTTTGAAACAGCGTTATAACTTTCTGACAGATTGTTAGTGATACCAGAGTATGGGTCATATAAACCTTCAAATTTTTCTAAAACCCATTTTCCTGATCTCTCTAAAATATCAGTTTTTAGCTCTTTTTCAAAATATGACACAACTTCGGATGTCCATTTAGATGTCAGATCTTTAGAAAGCTCTAAGAACTCGTTCTCAGAGTCACATTGTAGCATCTGTTTTAACTGATGATGATATAGCCTGATATTATCAGGAGAAACTTTATTTTGATTCAACCAGTACTTAAAATCGTTTCGTAAATGATTCCAGCATGTAAGTATAGGACAATCAGGCAAAATATTTTTAATAGCTTTTCGTATACCAGGTTCCCTGTCCACTACAATGGGAATTCGTTTTTTTGAAATTTTCGGAATAGCACATTTCAAAAAGTTAAAGAAAGTCTCGTAAACACTACCAAATTTTCTATCATGAATAACAAAAGCCAAAGGAATAAGAGGTGTTTCTTTGAAAAGAATATGTTTGAATACTATGGCCGAAACGTAACAATCACCTAGGTTAAATGTGGTGTCATAAGATAAATAAAGCTGTTCATCAGATTTAACATCTAAGAGTTGGTTAAATTGAGCAGGAACATATATATAGATATACTGTTCCCAGAATTGAGTGATGATTTCTGGTAAACTAACAACAGCCACTAAATCTGGATAAAGTGTCAACTGTTTCACGAACCCATCTAGGTGGGAAGATAGTTGAAAAAAATTATATAAATCGTCTCTACTCAATAACTGATCTCCTCGCCTCTTCTGAAGTGCATTTTTTACCTGTTTTCTATTCCTAGGATTAGCTACACCTTGCATGTTGCCATCGACTTGTTCATTACATACCATAGTCCTATATACTTTTTTGGCACCCTCACTACCTACATGGTCCTTTACCTTATCAATAACGGATGGCATAGTTCTTTTAAACTCACCATCATGTTTGCTATTACCATGTGCCATAGGGGTATATGTCGTCTCATCGCCAGTGTAATGTACCAAAACTAATGTAGGTCTATTTGTCAACCAATAGCCTACCTTTTTGAATTTTAATGAAAACCTCGGTCTTACACGTCCAGATTTGATCTCAGTACCTGGAAACCTTACTTTGTAAAAAACTTTACCTATTTCAACATCATTGGCCTTAATTGTTCTACCTCCATCACGAATCCACAAGTACTGATCACACTTCCAGTCCTCCGTGTTGATAGACTCAATAACAAAAACATCACCTGCTTTAGGTTTTATTGGTGGCAATGAAGTGACCTTACTCATGTCAGGATATGACAGAATACTTACGATTGTCTCCTTGCTTTTAAATATACAATCAATTAGTGTTTCGATGTGTTTTGTTTTCAATTGTATTCCTAGTAAATAATTAGAACATAAAAAACTAAATATCTTCTCATAGGTACTCATTACCACTCGCTCGGTTTACGGTTGACATAACAGAATACACAAATACACAGATTCAATGACAGGTCTTAAGTTTGGCACGTGCCAACCAATTATTTAATTAGCTATAGGACGACTGTTGGGCAGATTTTTGAGGTTTTATTATCAAATGAATATTTTTTTTTCTTTTCACAAAATTTATTGTTCATACTTTACAACGAATAACAAAAATAATAATATTCTATTCAACTTTCTATTTCGATTTGAAAAAAATTTCCTCACAAGTTAAGACAAATAAGTTACTGTCCTGGCAGATTTTTATCTACTTTAAGAATGAAAATTGATCAATTTCTTTAGTTTTATATTATAATTGTGTCTGTTACTTTATGATAGTATCAAAATAGTATGTCAAACAATCGAAATAAAGAAAATATTTTATTTATAGTTAGAAATTGTGTTGTGAATTTCCGCCATTTATACAGAAATTTAACGGAGTAGGCTACTGTCCTGGCAGATTTTTTTTGTGTTAATGAAATAAGTGTCCATATTTTTTTATATTTTCTTAAAGCTTATACTTTAAACTTTCCAATGAACCAACATTTGCTTACCAGACACTCATTTTGAAGAAGATATTTAACTTTATATTACGATTTTGAGGTAATTTCAACAAAATTTCTAACGTAATCGGCTACTGTCCTGGCAGATTTTTTTAGCTTTAAAAATCGAAAATTATATTAAATTTTAGATCTTTAGAATGATTATTCCCTTAACTTTATAATCGTACAAAAATATTATGCCAGACAGTTGTTTTGGAGAAATTATTTCAATTATAAGTAAATTTTTCTCGGCAATTTCAGCCATTTTTTTCTTAAAATTTAACTGTCCTGGCAGATTTTTTTTAACTTATTAATTTTTTATTTTAATTTTTTTTACAAATAACGTAAGTATATACCCTGTTCTTTATTATACAGTTTATATTTCAACAATATGTTGAGTAAAACAAAAGTAACAGATGAAAACGTATCAAAAATAACTGTCCTGGTTTTATCTGTCCTGTTTTTAGACCTTCCCGTTATAAGGCCCAAAAATTATCACATTCAGTATTTTTAGAATGATCATGTCTTGGTCTTTGTTTGCAACAATGCGAAAATATCATGCCAGACATCATTTCACATATTTGTTCATTTATAAATAAAATTTCTGCACTTTTGGTTTTAATATTTTAACAGAACTATTCAAATAAAAAGTTCTCACTAAAAGTTTTTTTCAGATGAGTCATTTTTGCCAATGACCATAATGAGTTCACAGACACAGAACTTTATGAAAAAAAATCATTGTCAACAGAACATACGAAGACATAGATAAATATTCCATTTCTTCTTTTTTGTAATTTAATAATGAAATGATGATTTCTAGACTCAGCACATAGAAACCGAAGCAGCTTTACACTCCTGTTTCATTCACAAGTGAACCCTGCAAATAAACTTATGAAATAATTTCTTGTTGAGTTTTTAAGGTGTGTTACGTAAAACAGAAGTAACAAGCTTGCGTCATAATGTTTAAATGATTATTGTTATGTACAAGATAGTAGACAAAAAAATCTGAAACCGAATCCAACATAGGGATTTGTATAGGCACAGTGGGGGTCGTAAAAAGTGTTTTTCTAATATAGAGATTTGTTCTAAAGTGTTTACTGAGTTTGTTTGTTAAATATCACCCTTTTTAGTCTTAATAAGCTCATAAAAGCATTACCTGGAAGTCATTGCGAGTAAAATCAACACCGCGAACGAACGGTAGCACTCCAGTGGCCGCCATGTTGAATCTAATAATTTAGAAAAACCAACAACGGACATTTATTTTCGGTTTTTTTTTTTTTGTTTTTTGTTTTTTTTTTTCATGAAAAATGTTTTACTTTTCTCAGAAAATAAAGCAGTTTGGTTAAGCCCTAAGGTGTTATAAATGTGAAGATTAGAATGTATTGCCTTAGTTTAGTGTTGAGATTTCGACCAAAAACACGATCATAGAAAAGAGAGTCGAACGATACCAAACTTATATTCATTCGAAAATAAACTGACAACGCCATGGCAAATAAGAAAAAAAAGAACAAAAGACAAACAACAGCACACAAAACAAAACATAGAAAACTAAAGACTGAGAAACACGAACGCCACCAAAAAACCGGGGGTGATCGCAAAAGCTCCGGAAGAGTAAGCAGATACTGATTCACATGTGGCACCCGTTGTGCTGCTAATTTAAGTACACACCCAGTAATAAGTCTAATTCGGTAGGCCACACTCTGGGAAAAGGAGGACGGGATTGTGTTTATGACGATTGGCACATATCCGCAGTCATATGTGAAACAGATATTCCATAAAGGTCAACCAACTCTTGATGGCGTCAGTAACATTTTCGAAGTGGCCCGGGATGACTCAGTCAACTTCACCACTTGAAACTCTTGGTTTAATAGCTTCATTGTGAGCAGCAACCCTCTATCGAGAAAATAATGATAGGAAACGTAAGACCTTGAATATCGTATCAACTGAGAGATATATACACCATATGCAGGCGCTGCTGGAATGTTGCTGCGTTCAAAGTTTGGAAGATGAAATCATCCCCGTTGTTGTAAAGTTTTGGACTCAACCGACCCTCATTGTCAATTTCTAGATGTAAGTCAATATATGAAACTGACTTAACTGTATCTGTTTTATCCTTTATTTAAAGGTTGATGGGTCAGATGTGTTCAACATAGTCACCGAACTTTGAATCATTTAGTGAGAGAACATGATTAACTATATAGCGGAAAGTGAAGTTAAAGGATTATGCTAGCTTCTTTTCATTCTTCCTAAGCAGCCTCTGTATGAAGTCAGCCTCATATGAATAAAGGAACAAGTAGACAAGAAGAGGAACACAGTTGGTTCCCATGAGAATGCCGATTGTTTGTTGAAAAACCCGCTCTCCAAACGTAACAAATAAGTTGTCAATTAAGAAATCAAGCATCTTGGTAATGTCAGTTTCAGAGAATTTTTAGTTTGAATCAGAGTGATTCTTTAAAAAGTACGATTTATCCCTCCCAAAGACAAGATACTCGTATCTACGTTGGCTATTCTTTTTAATGTAACAAGGCAGGATCGACTCTTTCAATTAGTCTTTTAGTTTGGAATGAGGAATACTTGTGTAAAGTGTATAGAAAAGTCAAATGTTTTAACACTTTTGCAAGATGAAAGAGTCTTAGATTGTATATGTACTCTAATAACATAACCAGTACATACATTAATGCATCAGATGCGCATTTCGACAATTAATGTCTCTTCAGTGATGCTCGAGGCCAAAATACATGTATTTGAATTTACAAAACTTAATGCCAATCAAACCAAAGAGTACCTAAGTCGTATAGCCGTACCTGGACAAGGAACCAGAGATATTTCCGCGGGAGATATATTCCTTCATTTAAAATTATTAAAAAAAAACCAGCAAATTTTTATCAAGCAATATCCGTTTTTTCAACCAAGTACCGAAGTACTGGCTACTGGGCTGGTGATACCGTCGGGGACTAATACTCTACCAGCAGAGGTATCGACCCAGTGGTATTTTAAAAATAACACACGCGGTACCAATTTCAATGCACCAGATGACAGATCTTTGAATTGTTTTAGATTCCACATTCGATTCACACCGCCTCTAGAGCAGACTGTTTCACAATAGCGTTGAAGCCCGGCTTTGATTGCTGATAAAATTGATGTTAATTATTCAGAAAGAGGTTTCATTGAGCACTTGGAAGATCCAGCAATATAACATTGTTTGTAAGGAAGCTTGTATAATTTAGGTATCCAATACAGCAAAGAAAGATCCAGTTCTTTGACTTTGGTTGAAATTCCAAAGGAACATACAACAGACCTATGATTATCCAGGATTCCCTCCTTGATAAGAGTCGTGGGGGTATATATGTTGAGTTTCCAAGTGGATTGTTAATAACTAATTCATTTATCAAGCAGTTTATGTAATGTGATTTACACACAAAAACGATGTTGTTTGGGGGCTTTATCTGCGGGGACAACAACATATTTTTCATGGAGGTATAGGACAGGTGCTTTGCAACATTTGGGTCTTGAAAGATTGATGTAGAATGTATTTTCATAGACCCATTCATTTTTATAAATTCTGATTCCTCACAGCCTTAATACATTCGGAAAGAGTATCTACGTCTTCTTTCTCGAGTTAAACCCATTGCATGGCATAATACTCGACTGAATCCATCAGTAGTTTGAAGTTGTATGGATTTAGCTCACGATATTTCGGGCCTTTGGATAGCAAACATGTGTTATTGACACGGTTTAGGTCACCTGCTATAACATGGCCAGTCGGATTATATATGAATGGGTTGCTAAAGTATGGAATGAGCTGCCAGATGAGCTTCGTAAGCAATCATCTTTAAATCAGTTCAAGAACTTAATTAATTCTTGGTCTGGCAGCTCATGCTAATTTCTCGCCTGCAAAACCAGTTAATTAACCCTGTTCATTGTTCTTAGTTGGATGCTTTTTCAGCATGTCTAATTTGTGTTCACTCGTTACGGTAGTGCTTTTGCTATTTGTTGCTTATTTTATATATCCAACCAATCTCTTTGTGTTTTTTTGTATGTCGTAAACCATTTTACCCTTGCTTTTGTGTTTATTATCCCATAAGTGCATGCTTCAATATTTGTTTGGACTTTTGTGTTTTATGTATGCATACTATGAACTCTTGATTTCTATGTTTAATTGTATGTGTTCATGTTTTGATAAGTATGGATTGTTTGGTGTGCTTTTGTTTTGTTTGTTTTAAGAGCTCTGGATCCCAAAGCTTTTATGTGTAATTGTCTTGTAAATACCGACTTTAAATAAAGCTTTGTGTCTTACGTCTCATTTTTCATTCTCTATTGGTAATAGACGCCTATCACTTTTATTCACAGTGTTAAATCTAACATAATATAATCAGTATTATATTCCAAGGTTAAATTCAAGAATCCTTGATACTCTTACCATTAATATGATTATGAATTATTTCCGATGATGAATCTTCTTTTCTCGAAGAACACTATATTAGATCTTCAATTCGTTAAAAAGCGGTAACGCTTGTAAACAGGAGGATGTCAACTAGAGCTATAAGTGCTTTTTACATATAGTATCTCATGTTTGTTGAAGCTTTCGTCTACACGTGTACATAGTTGATAGCTAAAATAAATGATCTAACCTTTTCCTCATATGTTACAAAACCACAAAAATCATGAACGCATGCACGTGTCTCTTATATAATATAATTTCCTATATCTCTTAATATTTAACACAGGCACACTTATCTCTGAAAAAAATTTCCCATATTTATACCTTAATAATTTAAAGATATTAATATATCAAAGATATATAGGACATTTTTTCAGAGACAAGTTCCTGTAAGCATGAGGTATAAGTTAGTATGAACTTCTTTTGGTGGGAAGATATATGACATATTCTCCAAAAAACAGATGGTTTATTCCGCAGCTGCTTGAAAGCTCTGAAATATCAAGGATTTATATTTCTCACTACATAAATCCTTGTTGATACATATATGTAGGTCTACAACAGAAAAACTGCAGGTGTATGCAGATGAAATGTCCATTCGAAAGGTTGTGAAAAGAGTTTTTAATAAGTTATTTCCGTGAAGCAACTATATATTGAGAACTGGATTTATTTCAGGTTGGATTTTTCTACCTAGTTGCTTTGTTTCGGTGGAAATTAAATTTCAACCAGACATTGACTGTCAGGAGGACTTTTCAACCAACGAATTTTGCATAGAACGTTTCGGAATCCATAACAAATGAGCGTTTACACATAAAAACAGTTACATGCTAATTGAACAACATACTAAACAACTTATTAACATAAAAGCATGTGTCATCCACTGGTATTACAGAGTTAAGTGTTTTTCTAAACTGAATTTTGTTGTACGTACTCTTTATACTTTGAATTTGGACTTATTTACCGGGGGTGTACTTACATGAGCAGCACGACGAGTGCCACATATGGAGCAGGATATGCTTTCCCTTCCGGAGCATCTGAGATCGCCCTTGATTTTTGGAGGGCTTTGTATTGCTCAGTCTATTTTACTGTTGTTTGTCTTTTGGTCTTTTTTGTTTAATTGCCATGGCGTTGTCAGTTTATTTTCGACTTATGAGTTTGAATATCCCTTTGGTATTTTCGCCTCTTTTCTTCTTTACTGATTATGCCACTTAACGATATAAAATAGAGGAGGGTTAATATCTAAAGAAACCCAGTTTAACTCTTCCAATTCTGGACAAAATCTATAAAAGATCTGTCTTCCTGTACTTTCAGTGACGTTGGTGAATGAAATCTACATCGAGGTACAGCCAACGATACTAGATGTTTTATATATTAGAGTGTAGGACGGCTCGATTTCATATCAGCATTTTGAGTCTCTGAGCTTGCTCTCAGTAACTGCAAGCACAATTTATTTGATGCGGTATGTTTATTATTGTGGTTTTGTTTGTACTTGTGCTTATGTTATAGTTGTTATTTCGGAATTATGATTTTAAGTGATTTTCCTGTACTGAATTTTATCTCACATCGACGAGGTCGCAATGGCGAGACTTAGCCGTGCTGTTTCCAGTGGCACAAACAATTTGTTTGTTTGGGAGCTACCATTTGATTTTTATGGGGACTAGGATGAAATTTGAAAAAAATAGGCAGGACAGGAGTTTTGAGTAAAAAAAAAAGGCAGGATGAGATTATTTGCCAAAAAAAAGGCAGGATGACAATTTATGTAAAAAAAAAGTTGATGATAAACCT